GTGCTGGGTGGACGATCGACACCTGCCACAGGGGAGCAGGCGCGGCCCTCCCGCCGAGCCGAAGGAGATGATCCTCAGAACCACGGAGTCGGGGCGGGGGGACCTGGGTGTTCCCGTCCCTCCGGGAGGTCTCCAGCGGGGCGGCTTTCACCCTGTGCCTTAAGCGGTTACAATCAAGGAGTGGGGCTCGACGCGGAGCCGGGCTCAGCCGTCTTGACTTTGCCTTGTGTGTGTGTGTGTGTGTGTGTGCGTGTGTGTGTGTGTGCCCACCTTGGAAGAAGGGGTCTTCTCGAGGCATAGGAGGTCTCTGCTGGGATCACCCACGGACGGATGCCCGGGACCTCTTTGCCCACAGGGGTGGTGCAGATGCTGTCGATGCCTGAGCACCAGTTTGGTTGCTGGGAACCATCAGGGTGGAGGTGGGAGCTGGAAGGGATCTTGGCGAGGCCCACTTGCTCGTGGCCACGTAGCCCTGCCGTGCTGGGGCTGGGGGGAGGGATCCGGTGCGTTTTGGAAGCAGAGCTGCAGGGGTAGCCCAGGGGCTTTCCATAAAACCCACGTGGGTGTCTAAAGTTGGGCAAAACGTCTGGTGATCCAGGCTGGGTGCCTTCTCCATGCCTCATGGGACCAACACGGGGTGCAGGGAAGGGGGATATGTCCTCAGTGGTGCCTGAGAGAGCAGCTGCAGGACCATGAAGCTTCAGCCCAGGAGAGCAGATCCACATCAGTCCAGGGCAGCTGGGAACAGATTTCTCCCTGCAGCGTATTTGAAGCTGTAGGAGAGAATGGGCCCTTGGAAAAGCTGAGTTGAGCTGCTACCCTGCTGGAAAACCTGGGCAGGAAGCACGCACAGAGTCCCTGGAAGCTGACTGATTCATTAGATCTTGGTTATCTTGGACAAATAAATTGCACCATCTCATGTCCCCCCTTCCCTGCTACATTATCTATTTCCACCTGGCTCAGCAAAGGGTTAAATAAGCAGTTGCCATCTTCAGGCCAGTGTGTCCGACATGCATTTACTTTAATATTGTTTTTAGCTGAAAATGAAGAGCGTTGCTTGGACTGAAGTGGAAATTGAGAATCCTTGAATTCTTCCACAGGGAAGAGATGAGGACTCTGCACCACCAACGTGGCAATGGGAGTGTGTCCTTGTCCCCAGCTCTGAAAAGAGAAGCAGAAATGGGAATAGTTTCAGTTAAAAACAAACAAACACCCAAAAAACACACTGGTTAGGGTAAATTTAAAGAAATAGCTAAAAGGATTTCCTATAAATGTGGCTGCAGGTGAAGCTGGGGGGCTGCAGGGGTTTGTGCCAGGTGACCAGAGTGGTGATGGGCAGCTCTCCTTGGGGAGGGGGATGGAGTTGTCTCTTTTTCTCCAAGGGGGAATGAAGAATTTTATTCTGTGAATAGGACCAAATCCATCAGTCTGATCGGGAATACGGGATGGATGGAAAAAAAAAAATGCAAGAAAAAAATAAAATAAGATCAGTGTTGGCTGGAAAGGATTTTGTCAGGTGAGGGTAACAAAGTGTGTTTTCACCAAAGCTAAAAAACCAAACCAACCCAACCCATTTTTAGGCTGTTTTCTTGAATTGAATCTGTTGGTTTTTGATTTTTCTCAGCCCTTCAGTGGTGGGCGTGTGTTTTACTTCTTTCCAAAGCCTTGAGAGCAGAACGGGGCTTCTGGCTGTCCCAAAACATTCCCAGGGCTCCCAAACCACCCAAGTCCTCCTGTGTATGGATGTGTCTTCTGTGTGTGTGTGTGTGTGTGTGTGCACACGTGTGTGTGCACGTGTGCGACTCGCTCCTCAGGTGCCTTTGCCTTTTGATTTTTTAAAACCCTTGCAGTGTTCTGATGTACAGAATGAAACTAGAAAAGAGAATGTAATATTATGCCATGTAAAGTCATTTTTGTCGGTTTTGCCTTTTTTTAAAATTTTGTTTATTACTGTTTTTATTTTCTTTTGCCTGGACAACCCTTTCAGTGAAGAAATTCTTTCCTAATATGCAATCTAAAACACCCCAGGTGCAACTTGAGGCCATTTCCTCTCATCTTACCCCTGGTGATGTGGGAGAAAACACCCACCCCACCTCACTGCCCCCTCCTTCCAGGCAGAGCCATCAGGGCTTCCCTCAGCCTGGCCTTGCATCCCGCCTCCCTCAGGTGCTCTGAAAGTACTGGGCTTTATATATTTAAAATTTATTGTTTTTTTTGTTTTAATTTCTATTTACCTTTCTTTGCTTCTATTTCTTCTTTAATTTTCTTTATTTTCCTCTTTCCCATCCCCTCCTCTCTCCCTCTTTCCTTCCCCCTCTTTCCTTCCCCTTCTTTCCCTTCCTTCCCCCTTTCTTTCCCTTCCTTCCCCTTTTTCCTTCCTCCTTTCTTTCCCTTCCTTCCCTCTTTCTTTCCCTTCCTTCCCTCTTTCTTTCCCTTCCTTCTTTCTTTCCCTTCTTTCCCCCCTTTTCTTTCCCTTCCTTCCCCCCTTTTCTTTCCCTTCCTTCCCCCTTTCTCTCCCTTCCTCCTCTTTTCCCTCCCCTTCTTTCCCTCCCCTTCTTTCCCTCCCCCTATCCTTTTTCCAACGTTTATCACTTTTCTCTCTCATTCCCAACGCGCCTTTAATTCATGTCGAGCTGCTTCCTTTGCCATTTACCCCGTTAGAACCATCAATTTTTCCCTTTTCCTGTCACTTTCCCACCGCCCCCCCCACCCCCAAGCCGGGGCTGAGGCGATGGGGGCGTGGCCGTGGCTGGCGGGGGGCGTGTCTATGCAAATGAGAGACCGCGGAGGCGATGGGGCGGGGGCGTGTCCATGCAAATGAGGCGGCCGCGATGCGAGGGAGGCGGGGCCGTGGGGGCGGGGGCGTGTCCATGCAAATGAGGCGGCCGCGATGCGAGGGAGGCGGGGCCGTGGGGGCGGGGGCGTGTCCATGCAAATGAGGCGGCCGCGATGCGAGGGAGGCGGGGCCGTGGGGGCGGGGGCGTGTCCATGCAAATGAGGCGGCCGCGATGCGAGGGAGGCGGGGCCGTGGGGGCGGGGGCGTGTCCATGCAAATGAGGCGGCCGCGATGCGAGGGAGGCGGGGCCGTGGGGGCGGGGGCGTGTCCATGCAAATGAGGCGGCCGCGATGCGAGGGAGGCGGGGCCGTGGGGGCGGGGGCGTGTCCATGCAAATGAGGCGGCCGCGATGCGAGGGAGGCGGGGCCGTGGGGGCGGGGGCGTGTCCATGCAAATGAGGCGGCCGCGATGCGAGGGAGGCGGGGCCGTGGGGGCGGGGGCGTGTCCATGCAAATGAGGCGGCCGCGATGCGAGGGAGGCGGGGCCGTGGGGGCGGGGGCGTGTCCATGCAAATGAGGCGGCCGCGATGCGAGGGAGGCGGGGCCGTGGGGGCGGGGGCGTGTCCATGCAAATGAGGCGGCCGCGATGCGAGGGAGGCGGGGCCGTGGGGGCGGGGGCGTGTCCATGCAAATGAGGCGGCCGCGATGCGAGGGAGGCGGGGCCGTGGGGGCGGGGGCGTGTCCATGCAAATGAGGCGGCCGCGATGCGAGGGAGGCGGGGCCGTGGGGGCGGGGGCGTGTCCATGCAAATGAGGCGGCCGCGATGCGAGGGAGGCGGGGCCGTGGGGGCGGGGGCGTGTCCATGCAAATGAGGCGGCCGCGATGCGAGGGAGGCGGGGCCGTGGGGGCGGGGGCGTGTCCATGCAAATGAGGCGGCCGCGATGCGAGGGAGGCGGGGCCGTGGGGGCGGGGGCGTGTCCATGCAAATGAGGCGGCCGCGATGCGAGGGAGGCGGGGCCGTGGGGGCGGGGGCGTGTCCATGCAAATGAGGCGGCCGCGATGCGAGGGAGGCGGGGCCGTGGGGGCGGGGGCGTGTCCATGCAAATGAGGCGGCCGCGATGCGAGGGAGGCGGGGCCGTGGGGGCGGGGGCGTGTCCATGCAAATGAGGCGGCCGCGATGCGAGGGAGGCGGGGCCGTGGGGGCGGGGGCGTGTCCATGCAAATGAGGCGGCCGCGATGCGAGGGAGGCGGGGCCGTGGGGGCGGGGGCGTGTCCATGCAAATGAGGCGGCCGCGATGCGAGGGAGGCGGGGCCGTGGGGGCGGGGGCGTGTCCATGCAAATGAGGCGGCCGCGATGCGAGGGAGGCGGGGCCGTGGGGGCGGGGGCGTGTCCATGCAAATGAGGCGGCCGCGATGCGAGGGAGGCGGGGCCGTGGGGGCGGGGGCGTGTCCATGCAAATGAGGCGGCCGCGATGCGAGGGAGGCGGGGCCGTGGGGGCGGGGGCGTGTCCATGCAAATGAGGCGGCCGCGATGCGAGGGAGGCGGGGCCGTGGGGGCGGGGGCGTGTCCATGCAAATGAGGCGGCCGCGATGCGAGGGAGGCGGGGCCGTGGGGGCGGGGGCGTGTCCATGCAAATGAGGCGGCCGCGATGCGAGGGAGGCGGGGCCGTGGGGGCGGGGGCGTGTCCATGCAAATGAGGCGGCCGCGATGCGAGGGAGGCGGGGCCGTGGGGGCGGGGGCGTGTCCATGCAAATGAGGCGGCCGCGATGCGAGGGAGGCGGGGCCGTGGGGGCGGGGGCGTGTCCATGCAAATGAGGCGGCCGCGATGCGAGGGAGGCGGGGCCGTGGGGGCGGAGGCGTGTCCATGCAAATGAGCGGCGGCGGCGGGCCCAAGATGGCGGCGGTCCCAGTCGGGCTGTCGCTGCGGCGGGTGCATCTGGTGCTGGGGCACTTGTCCGGGTCGCAGCCGGGAACCGGCACCGGGATCCGGCCTTCCCCGTGCGGGAGCCGCTCCGGGGGCTCTCTGGGGGCTGACGATGCGGGGGTGGTGGTGCACGGCCGCAGGACCGCCATCGGCCGGGCCCGGCGCGGCGGCTTCAAGGTACAGGCCTGGGCCCCCCCCCTCCCTCCCCGGCCTCGGGACAACCCGAAACAGCCTTTTCTGACTGTTTTAATGGCCGGGGGGTGCGTGAGCCCAGAGCCACTGGCACCCCAAAAGAGTCAGCCGAGGTGCTGACGAGTTTCCCCCTCAGACCCCCGGGGTGGGAGTTTGCCACGCTGCTGTGAAGCTGCGCTGGTGCAACCAGGTTAGAGAAGCAGCGTCTCCCTCGCCTGCACGGCTGGCTTGGCACAGCCCTGCCGCCCTGCTGGAGCCGCCCTCGTCCTTGCTGGGCTGCTGGTGCTGTGCTGGGGCTCTCACCGAGGTGCCAGGGTGGCCCCAAAGCCTGCGTGGTGCTCCTGGTCTGGTCACACCTGGTCACACCTGCAGTGCTTCCCACCGGCTGAGGCCTCGCCTGTGTTTCTTCCACCAAACTAATTCAGAGGCTCCACTTGTCGCATAACTCAGCGTTGTTTGTTTGGCTTTGAGGGCCCTGCAAAGTGTGCTTATATAAAACTGAGCTAGGAAATCGCTTGGAAGATGCCCAGGGTTAAAAGCCATGCGGGATAATTCTGTTTGTAGAGGAAAATTAAAACCGTCCTGAGCTGAGAAGCTCAGTAAAGCTGCGTGAGCATCATGTGCAGTTTGTGGTGATTGTTTCAGGTGTTTTAAGTAGTGCTGATCCCCTGTGCTTGTAGGACACCACCCCTGATGAGCTGCTGTCTGCTGTTATGACAGCTGTCCTTCAGGATGTCAATCTCCGTCCTGAGGTCCTGGGAGACATCTGTGTGGGTGAGTGAACAGCCCCCACCCAGACTTGAAACTCCTGGTCGGGATAGCTCTCTGGGACAGGTGCCTCCTGCTGTCCCGTGGGATCCTTGCCTTTGGTGTATGAAATCAGTGTGTGCCTGCTCTGTTGGGTGGTGGGGCTCTGGCCTGTGTGCTGGGCAGCACCAAGCTGTGGACAGGTTAACATCCCTTCCATGCCCGCAGCAAATAGCGAGGGAAATGCAACCACTTGACTGGAGTCCTATCTTTGCACCTAGGAAACGTGCTGCAGCCTGGAGCTGGTGCTTTGATTGCAAGAGTTGCACAGTTTCTAAGGTAAACTCTCAACCAGATGAAGGTTCCTCCTCCCCTTCTCAAGCCTTGGCTGTGGAGCAGCACTGGCTCAGAGGTAGCAGTGAGGCTGGTGTGTTCCTAAGAAGTTACAGCAAATCACCTTTTGCCTGGAAATTAGACTTTGTGTCTTTGGATAACTGTGCTGGGGTTTGGAGAGTGCTCTTGGCAACGGAGGGGGAGGCAGAGGTGAGGCCAGTTCATCATTTTGGGATACCTGTGCTGAGCCTCTGAACAGGAGGCCTTGTTTTGTGGGCTCCCAGCTGTGCCTGCTGCTTCTCCATAATGCAAGGCTGTGCTTCTCTCTGCTCTGTGTGGGCCTGAAACCGTGGACTTGCCTTGGGTCTCTGTGTTGAGTTGGATCCCAGCTTCCAAGTCCTTCAGCCAGTGTCTAATCAGTGTGCAACCACCTTGGAGAGGTGCAGACACAGCCCCCTGGTAATCACAAATATTGCAGAGCTTTTTAGTATTTCTGGCCCTTGGGAACTAGGCAGAGGAGAGGGCCCTGCTTAGAGAGGACCTTCTGAAGCCAGACCCCTGGGCAGGCAGCACTCGGAGCCGCTTGCCAATCACATTGGGAATTTACCTACGAACTTTGCTTTCTCTTGGTGCAGTACCAAGTAGGTCAACAAACATATAAAGGGATCTCTCTCTTGAACTCGAGGGTTGAAGTTCAGTCACGTGGCTTAATGTTCTCTGTAGTTGTTTGGTTTGTGGTGTGGTTTTGATCGCTGGGTCTTTGCCAAGGCTGTCTTGCTTCCTAGCGGTATTCCAGAGACGGTGCCGTGCTCCAGCGTCAACCGGCAGTGCTCCTCGGGGCTGCAGGCCATCATCAATATAGCTGGTGAGTCTTGTGGGCACTTGGGGCAGAGCTGATGCCTGCCACACCCTCAGGTGTTCGTTTCTCCTGTCCTCCAGTCTCTCTGAGCAGTAAAAGTAGTGATAAGGTCTCCTGCTCTTAGGAGTTGTCAGTGTGTTGTTAGAGAATCATGGAATTGTCAGGGTTGGAAGGGACCTCCAGAGATCATCTAGTGCAATCCCCTGCTAAAGCAGGATCTCCTGGAGCACATCACTCAGGGATGCATCCAGGGGGGTCTTTAATATCTCCAGAGAAGGGAAACTCCACAACCCCCCTGGGCAGCCTGTCCCAGGGCTCTGTCACCCTCACCGTGAAGTTTCTCCTCATATTTAAATGGAACTTCCCATGCTCCAGCTTGTGCCTGTTGCCCCTCGTCCTGTCACTGGGAACTACTGAACAGAGTCTGGCTCCATCTCCCCTGCACCCACCATTTAGATACTTGTAGGCATTAATAAGGTCTCTCCTCAGCCTTCTCTTCTCCAGGCTAAAGAGTCCCAGCTCTCTCAGCCTTTCCTCATCAGGGAGATGCTCCAATCCCCCAGTCATCTTTGTTGCCCTCCCCTGGACTGTCTCCAGGAGTTCCCTGTCTCTCTTGGACTAGGGAACAGGATTCCAGATGTGGCCTCACCAGGGGAGAGCAGAGAGGAAGGATGATCTCTCTTGATCTACTTGCCACACTTTTCCGTATGCACCCAAATACTTAAGAGTTGAATACTTATAACCTTGAGTGGCCAAGTTTACCCCTAGAGAAGTAACTTGGTTTTCTGAAGACGAGTTCTACCATCACTTCCACATGAGCAGCTTCTAGAAGGGTCTCTCCTGTCCTCTCTGGTTGCATGTCAGGCTATGGTTGGTTAGTCTTCAGCCCCATCAGCTCCTTGACCTGGCTCACGTTCTGGCAGGGGGTGGGGTGGAGGGAACACACCTTCCAGATGTAGTGGGTGCCTCAGGTGTTGGTGAAGCCACAGCTGGAATGGAGGTGCTTTTGCTCCTCCTGACAGTAAGAATGTTTTTGTCCTGCTGTTACAGGTGGCATCCAAAATGGATCATATGACATTGGCTTGGCCTGCGGGTAAGAAAACCTCCTTATGGTACTTGCATAGGCTTCCTGGAGGTAACACTGTCCCTCTGCAAGAGCTCTTAGAAACCCCTTTCAGCCAGATCTGTGCCCCTCAGGAGATAAATACTGACCTTTTTTGACAAATAGGTGAATAAACTCTAAAATTAGGACCTGAATTGAAGTGGTGGCTGCAGATGCAATTTGTGTATTGCTAGAGGCTGCCGAGTACTTTCACAGAGTGGGTCATCTTAAAGGGTCTGAGAGATGGTGCTTGAAAATCCTTTAATTCTCCAGGAACTGGTCTTGGTGACATGTCTGTCCCTTATAACATGCAAAAGCCTGTTTTAGCATGGTCCTCTGGCTCTGCTCGTGGATACCACTTGCATGCAGATCTCAGATAGCCTGGAAGAGCCTGCTGTGGTTTGCTTTTTTACTAGTCTCCAGTAAGCTGGTGTCTCAGAATACCAGCAGCTAGCTTGGATCAAGAAATTAATATCCTACCATGGCTAACAACTGTTCTACAGAGTTACAGGTGTTCTTCGTCAGAAGTGTTTGTTTCTTTGAGGATTAAATGTTAAGTTGGCTTTAGAGAAACACTAGTGACCACAGACACATTCACTTCAGAAGAACAAATAACAGAAGTATTCAGTATCCTGAGGCTAAAACATTTGGTTCCTCTTTTTCTTTACCTTGGTAACTCCTAAGACTTTCTTGAATTATTACTGTCCACACTCATCCAGTAGTCCTTAGGAAAATAACTTTACAGCTTTCTCAACCCCTACACATAGCCTGGTTGAGCAAGATCTGATGCTGAGAAACCATTCTTAGCCTGCTGTGAAATGAACAGCTCAGCCAGCCAGTGTGTTCCTCTGACGTAAAAATACTGAAAGGCTCAGAGGGTTTAGGATCCAGCCTTTGCACCTTTGGGTGTGGAAGCCACCAGCATTTCATTGTTGGAAGTTTTTTGGCTTCTACCCTGCAGGGTCCTCCACAAAGACACAAAATCTGTATGTTACAAACAGCTGGTGTGAGCTGGGTGTATCCTGATCCATGCTCTTCCTCTGAGTGGACTCACCCCCTCTGTAGATGCAGAGATGCTGGAGCACAGCCAAAACAGCAGCTGTGGTTTTGCTCTCACTTAAAACCTGATTCTGTACCTTCCTTCAGGGAGCAGATGCAGCTGAAGTCAAGTAAAGCAGCAATGCACATAATTTTAGAGTTATTTTAAACTCCTGATAGCACTTACTATAAGCTGCTTGGCGAAAAGCCTCATTTTCTGCTTGTCTTGCATTTTCCAGCAATAGTTTCTTTGTTATCTACTCTTAATGACTTCACTTGTGTGGTGCAGAGTAGAATTCAAACCCCCTTCCCATCGCAGCCTTCATGGTCTAGACTGACTTTACAGAAGCTCACTGGTCTCCAGTGATGGTTGCACTGGGATGCAGTGGAATGGGATGTCTTCAGTCTGTTAACTCAGGTGCAGGGGAAGGGCTGCAGCCTCTGGGATCCATGTCTTAAATTCCTTCTGTTGTAAAATACAAGTAGTATAATGGTTTCCTTCATGCCTAGGATGCTGCCAACCAGTTCTTAAGCTGGAAGTGGCATCTTTATGGCTGTTGAACATCTTGCTGGAAGCTCCAAACCTAGAACCTTGGATTTTTGTAATGCTTGAGGACAAAAGTGCCAGAATCATTAGCAACTCTTTCCTAGCCGTGGAAAGAAGAACTTAACTTGTTGACACAGGTATCCTGTTTTTAGTGAAACAAGGACCAATTTAATCTATCAGAGTTTTTATTTCATGGTAATTCTTATATTGATGATTCAAGAGCTTCTGCCTTAGACAATTCTTAATTATTACTGTGTTTCTGTAGGATGACAGGAAAGCATGTTGTCAAGATACTGAGTTCTGATCAGTTTTAATGGAGCACTTAGCCTCATACATGGCATGAAAGCACTGGTAGCAAATAGAAAATGCAGATTTTTCTTGTGTTTAGGGTGGAAACGATGTCCCTCAGAAGTGCAGATAACCCTGGTGATATCAGTTCCAAGATGATGGAAAACAGCAAAGCTCGAGATTGCCTTATTCCTATGGGGTGAGTGTTCCCTCTTCCCAAAGCTTAGGGGTTTTCTGGGTGGTCTGTCTCTGCAGTGACTGTACTGTTTCAAATCCATGTGAATGTGGTGTGGGAAACTGTTCTTTTCTTCCTCACATGGTGAGCTTTGATCTGTATGTTGTCAGCATCTTCCTTGGTTATGATAGAAGATAAATGATGTGAAATGAGGGGAAGATCAGAGGCTCTTCTGAGAGCTTTCCTTGTCTTAAGCGCAATGAGCAATGAAGGCGGATTTGAACCTTGTTTTGGTCCTAGATTTGATTCAGGATCTGCTTCTGCCAAGCAGTTCTGGGTTGAGAAGACAACAGTGAGCCTTGAGAATGAAGCCAAGGCTTGTACCTTGTGTTGCCTTAGTAGAAGAATTTCAGCTCCTGTAGAGGAGTCCTTGGATTGATTCTGTGATGTTGTTTTCCCCAGAATAACCTCAGAAAACGTGGCAGAGAAGTTTGGAATTTCCCGAAAGAAGCAAGATGCCTTTGCCTTGGCTTCCCAACAAAAGTAAATGCTTTTTGTCTGTTGCTTTGTTTTGTTGCTTTTTTTTTTTTCCCTTTTGTTGTTGTTGTTTTTTTTCTTTTGTTTTGGTCAGGCTTGATGGGGCTCTGAGCAATCTGTTCTAGTTGGAGGTGTCCCTGCTTATTGTAGGGGGGTTGGACTAGATGACCTTTACAGGTCCCTTCCAACCCAAGACATTCCATGATTCTATTCTTTCTAACCTTTTAGTTAAGGAATAAATACAGGTAGAAGAAGCATTGCTGCTTGCCAAGAGTGGTTAAGTGCAGCCTTGGTGTTGCCTTCCAAACCTTAATAGTGAGTAAAGAAGCTTGAGAAGGTCAGAGCAAAGACCCTGACAGAGCATGTCGTGGGTTGTGTGTTAAGAAAACCCGAGTCCAGAGCAGTACTGGAGATGGTGTGACTAACCTGGTGTCATATCACCAGGTGTGCAAGTCTTGAGCAGTGAGTGCCTCTGTATTTTTCAGTCTCCAAAGGATGTGACCTCCTTGAGGCTTCTGAAACAAATGGATGGTTCAATATTTTCATAGTGGCTTTGGCTCCGTGTCATTTGAAATTGAACATGGGAGTGGCAGTGGAAGGAAACCTTCCTACCAGGGATTATTTAAATTGAGCTGTTTCTAGAGCACTGCTGAGCTTCTGAGGAGAGTGGCTTGTCTTTACTGCAGGTGTTTGGCTCCAAGGGAGTCCAGTCCTTCCTCTAACAACCTTCCCTCTGGGTTAAATCCCTGCCTAAATGTCGTGGCCCCTGGAACCCAGGGGGTGTTACTCGTGATCCGGCATCTGACATTAAAGCTGCTGCTGTCAAAGAGTTAAACTTAATTTCAGAGCTCAGTTCAAGCACTACCCCGGTCCAGTTATTTATCTAATACAGGAAGCCACTGCACAGGCCAGTTAACCTTTATATTCTGGCCCTGCTTCTAGGGAACTTGGCATACCAGCCTTTCTCACTGACATCAAGCTGATAACGCAAAAGGGGATGTGAACACCATCCTCCCCTTGCATGAGGGAAGGGTGATTTTCTGGCCCTGGTCTCAGGATGTCTGTGGAGTTACCGATCTGTCCCTCAGCACTTTGCTCTAGGTCTTGCTTATCTTCCAGTATTAATTATTTTCATTTTATTAGTAAAAGTATAAAGGGATGAAGGAGGTCAAACAAGCTTTCAGTCTCCAATTTGTATTCCCTCTGAAAGGGTGCTCTGCTGGAAGGTAAATCTTCTACATCAGCTCTGCTGGGGAGGCTTTTAAATACTTTGTTCATATGAAAGATTAAAACTGTGTGCCCTGAGCCAATTCAACTTCAGCTGATTGCATTCTGCCTACTTATACCCGTTCTCTCTTGTCAGTTCTCCCTGCTGTTAATGCTGCTGTCTTGGGGACCAGAAGCTCTCTTCACCCCTCCTTTACTGCTAAATCAATACCCTTCTACCTAGTCACACTGAACTATGCAACAGAAATTGCCTTCAATTTGGGTTGACAGGTTTAATTTAAAGGCCAGATTATACCTGAAGTCTACTTAGGGCTCAACTTGTCTTCAGGAGGACAAAACCAGGAATGAGTGAAACTTCAGCCATTAACTTATCAGGAGTTATCAGTATTATGTGAAGGCTCAGCCCTTTTTCCCTGTTCAGCTCAGAAATAAGAACTGATGTTTGAACATCAGGATTCATTTATTTTCTCACAGTTGTGAGTGCAGCACTGGGCAAGTACATCTCCATGCTGTGGGCTGGCAGTGGTCAGTCAGTCAGAGGGGTGTTGATGGGAACAGAAGTGGGATCTTGCTCAGAAGTGTGTGACCCTGTGACCCAGGTCTGTGGAGAATGTCCATCATGTTAGTGATAAATTTCCCATGATGTACAGATAGGAAGTTTGTCTGCCCATGAATGGAAATAAGTATTTGCCTGTTGTCTTGTTCACTGCTCAGCAGTGCTGTAGCTTTGTCCCAAGTCATACCTTAGTTCATTCTTCCTTCACTTTAGTTCTCTTGCAATTCACCTCTGGAGTGTTTTAAACTTTCATACTGTTCTTTAACAGAGCAGCAAAAGCTCAGCAGATGGGACTGTTTAAAACTGAGATTGTTCCAGTGAAGACCACTGTTCTGGATAACCAGGGCAACCAGAAGACAATCACTGTGCACCAAGATGAAGGCATTAGGCCCTCCACCACCCTGGAAGGCTTGGCCAAGCTGAGGCCTGCCTTCAAAGAGGATGGTAGCACCACAGCAGGTCAGCTCTGTTCTTACTTTGTCATCCCTCTGGTTTACCTGCCTTGCACCTTAAGCAAAGAAGGTGTTAATAGGTGTCAATACCTTCCAACAGGTAATGCCAGCCAGGTCAGTGATGGAGCAGCTGCTGTTCTCCTGGCCAGACGCTCCAAAGCAGCAGAGCTGGGACTGCCCATCCTGGGGGTGCTCAGGTCCTTTGCTGTGGTCGGGGTCCCACCTGATGTCATGGGCATCGGCCCGGCCTACGCCATCCCGGTGGCTGTGGAGAAGGCAGGTAAGAACCACTTGTCCTTCATACCCTGTTGGGCACATCGGGTTCTGTGGATGGAATCTGAAGGTTGTATTATTCCAGCAAGTGCAGCTGTCAGCCATAGGAACAGTGACCTTCACTTCAGAACAGTGAAGGAGATCCCAGCTGGGATTATTGTGATGCACTTCACTTGTACCTGTGGATAAGCTGGCGTTCCCTCACTTCTGAGAAGCTCAGGATTAAATCCCTGCACAGTCTTCACAAACAGTTAACATGTGGAAAGTGGTTTAGGGTTCATTTAATGCTGTTTTCTCATCCTTAATATGACCAGGGTGTTGGGGTGTGGGTTTTGTGTTTGGTTCTGGGTTTTTTCCTTTACAATTATGGCATCTCGCCAGCCCAACAGGCTTTCCTCAGGGTTCTCATCATCAGGTTAAACAGCTTTTACAGCTCATGGTGATGGTTGTGTCTGCCTGTCACGGCTGCAGTCCCATGCTCACCCATGGTTTTACCTTTCAGTCTTGAAATATCCTTAAATCTTTAATCCCTCTGCAAAGAAATGACATTTAATCTAAGGAAGCTTGGTGAGCTCAGTGACACAATACCATGGACTGGGACATTCTGCAGTATTTAGATGGTTCTGTATTTAAACATGTGTCCAAGTGTAGGCACCCTGCATGCAGCCAAGGACCCCCTCTTTCTGTCATTAGTGGAGCAGAACTAGAATTAATCAGGGGAGGCTGTGAGTGAATTATTCTCTTTGATAGAAAGCAAAAATATCTCCTTTTGAAATCCTGACTTCTCTGAACTATAGGTCTGACTCTGAATGACATTGATATATATGAAATTAATGAAGCCTTTGCAAGCCAGGTGAGTGATCATCCTCTTTGTCTTGCTACATAGTTTGGTAACTGAGTATATGTCAGCTTGGTCTCCAGATTAAGATTTGAACTTGTTCCACATACTGCATCAGATGTTAATGAACACACAGAGACTGGTTTCCCTTTCCTTAGCAGGGCATTGCTTATCCAGCTTAATATTTAAAAAAAGCAATCCCACAGCAATAAACAAAACAGAAAAATAATGCACTGATTAGGAATGTTATCTGTGCCATTGAATCCTTATACCAGCTTACAAAATCTGTTTCACAAGAGCTGTAATTTGTCAGTGTGCATGTATTGCACTCTGCAGTTTGGAAGCCCTTAATGAACCATGTCTTCCAGGAATCCATGAGGTGCCTGTCAGCAAGTGTGTGGGCTCAGCTGGAGGTGCAGTTGGGAGGCTTCCCTCCCCTCAGTGGGCTTTGCATTTGTCATTTTGCATTCTACTCCTTGGCACTGGGGAAGATGGCCTGGCTGGAGTCAGGCCTCTGAGTGGCAACTGTTCAGTGCTTCAAGAGCAGCTGACACAACAATGTGCAGTTTGTGTAATTACATAGTTTGGGCTGAATTAATTTTAAGCACAAACCTCTTGAAGCCCCTGGAGCTGGTTTGCTGTCCCTCTTCACACACGGGTGAGATAACCCAGTCCTCTCAGCTCTGTTGAGGGAGAGCTGAGAACTAACAGAGGCACGAGCATCTCTGTGAACCCATTCCCTCTGTCTTCCTAGGCTGTGTTCTGTGTTGAAAAGCTGGGCATTCCTATGGAGAAGGTCAACCCCCTGGGAGGAGCAATAGCACTGGGACACCCGCTGGGCTGTACTGGGGCTCGTCAAGTTGTCACTTTGCTCAACGAGTTGAAGCGCAGAGGGAAAAGGTGAGCACTGAGGAACAGAGTTGGCCTTAATGCCTTAAATGTACCTAAGTGACTTAGGCCCAGAAGTAACCATCAGCTTGGGTTATGCTTCTCTACCCCTTGGATAGCTTTGACCAGGAATTCCTGTTGGTTCTCTGAGTATCTTGCTGCCTGTGAGTGCAGAGTCTGTTCTGGCCCGTGGTGGTGCAAGAAGAAAGAGCAGCTTCTGCTGGCTGTGTCACTGCTCCCTTTGGGGCTGGCATGTGCAGAGCCACAGGACTGGCTTTAGGATGAGCTGTGCCCTGGGCTAGAGGGGAGGGCTGCAGTGATGGTGAGCTGTTAACTGCCAAGCAAACCTGGCAGTAACAATAAAGCACCTCACACTGAAGTGGATGACATTTAATCTAAGGAAGCTTGGTGAGCTCAGTGACACAATACCATGGACTGGGACATTCTGCAGTATTTAGATGGTTCTGTATTTAAACATGTGTCCAAGTGTAGGCACCCTGCATGCAGCCAAGGACCCCCTCTTTCTGTCATTAGTGGAGCAGAACTAGAATTAATCAGGGGAGGCTGTGAGTGAATTATTCTCTTTGATAGAAAGCAAAAATATCTCCTTTTGAAATCCTGACTTCTCTGAACTATAGGTCTGACTCTGAATGACATTGATATATATGAAATTAATGAAGCCTTTGCAAGCCAGGTGAGTGATCATCCTCTTTGTCTTGCTACATAGTTTGGTAACTGAGTATATGTCAGCTTGGTCTCCAGATTAAGATTTGAACTTGTTCCACATACTGCATCAGATGTTAATGAACACACAGAGACTGGTTTCCCTTTCCTTAGCAGGGCATTGCTTATCCAGCTTAATATTTAAAAAAAGCAATCCCACAGCAATAAACAAAACAGAAAAATAATGCACTGATTAGGAATGTTATCTGTGCCATTGAATCCTTATACCAGCTTACAAAATCTGTTTCACAAGAGCTGTAATTTGTCAGTGTGCATGTATTGCACTCTGCAGTTTGGAAGCCCTTAATGAACCATGTCTTCCAGGAATCCATGAGGTGCCTGTCAGCAAGTGTGTGGGCTCAGCTGGAGGTGCAGTTGGGAGGCTTCCCTCCCCTCAGTGGGCTTTGCATTTGTCATTTTGCATTCTACTCCTTGGCACTGGGGAAGATGGCCTGGCTGGAGTCAGGCCTCTGAGTGGCAACTGTTCAGTGCTTCAAGAGCAGCTGACACAACAATGTGCAGTTTGTGTAATTACATAGTTTGGGCTGAATTAATTTTAAGCACAAACCTCTTGAAGCCCCTGGAGCTGGTTTGCTGTCCCTCTTCACACACGGGTGAGATAACCCAGTCCTCTCAGCTCTGTTGAGGGAGAGCTGAGAACTAACAGAGGCACGAGCATCTCTGTGAACCCATTCCCTCTGTCTTCCTAGGCTGTGTTCTGTGTTGAAAAGCTGGGCATTCCTATGGAGAAGGTCAACCCCCTGGGAGGAGCAATAGCACTGGGACACCCGCTGGGCTGTACTGGGGCTCGTCAAGTTGTCACTTTGCTCAACGAGTTGAAGCGCAGAGGGAAAAGGTGAGCACTGAGGAACAGAGTTGGCCTTAATGCCTTAAATGTACCTAAGTGACTTAGGCCCAGAAGTAACCATCAGCTTGGGTTATGCTTCTCTACCCCTTGGATAGCTTTGACCAGGAATTCCTGTTGGTTCTCTGAGTATCTTGCTGCCTGTGAGTGCAGAGTCTGTTCTGGCCCGTGGTGGTGCAAGAAGAAAGAGCAGCTTCTGCTGGCTGTGTCACTGCTCCCTTTGGGGCTGGCATGTGCAGAGCCACAGGACTGGCTTTAGGATGAGCTGTGCCCTGGGCTAGAGGGGAGGGCTGCAGTGATGGTGAGCTGTTAACTGCCAAGCAAACCTGGCAGTAACAATAAAGCACCTCACACTGAAGTGGAAGAACTCACTCTGAAATCAGGTTTTCCGCACATCCCGCTGTACGTTGTTTGTCCAAACTCACCTTGGCCTGTTACACAGCGAAGCCAGGCCAAGGGCAGCAGCAGGAGTTTCTTCCTCAGCCCAGATAAATCAAAGCAGTTCCCCTGGCTCAGCCTTGCTGTGGGTGTGTCAGGCAGGTGGCCAAGGAGCTGGTTTCTGGCACACTGCTCCTGTCCCAACAGCAGGCAGAGGAACGCGTGTCCAGGTGCTCTGCAAACACCAGGACACCGGGAACTCTGCAGGAACTCCAGGGCACCAGGATTTGCTCCAGTGTTAGAATCACTTGGTGACACAGGAGAGCAGTGGGTAGCTGAGACGTATTCTTCTTTTCCTCCCCCCCCCGATCTTCATTCCATGTGCTGTTTGATTTCAGAGCATACGGAGTTGTCTCCATGTGCATCGGGACCGGCATGGGCGCTGCAGCAGTGTTTGAGTACCCAGGGAGCTAACTCCAGTGTGCTGACAGAGCAGCACAGCAGCAGCTCAGTCTTTGCCTTCTCCAGGAATAGCAAATGATTTGCACTGTGAAATCAAGGGGCTTCGGGGATTCCTTACTAGAGCTACACATCTAAGGCACAAATAACAAAGCTAAATAAATCGTATGGATCTGCTAAGCAGGGAGGAAGTGCAGAACTGGCACATGGTGTCTGGACACGAGGAGAGAAATGAGTTCAGTTGAAGTTCAACTACGTGTGGTGATGATGAATTCATATTTCTAATTTACTTGATCTTTTTAATCTGCCAATATTACCAGAGAGAAGTAGTTCATGGTGCAGTATTTTTGCAGGATGGTGTCTAAAACAGTGGCTCAGAATTAAAACACTGCACATTAAAAGGCTTTTTCAGGATTTTCTTAGAATATTTCACCTTCTTGTAAGAAGTCTAAAGCAGACATAATTTTCTTTACAACACTGTCTGTCCTGTCCCAGTCATAAGTTGGCCATGTCTGAAGCTGTCCCTGTGCTGGAGGATGGGCTGTAACCCTTTTAACCAAGCTGCTCTGGAGCCTTCAGTGGGGGCAGGTGGAAAGACTAGAATGTAATTTACACAGGATCAAACCAACCACTGAGATGCCTGAACAGAAAGGTTTGGATGATTTGCTAGAAGCCAGGCACCTGACAGTGGCCATTCCCTCTTTTTACAGCACATTTCTAATAGTCACTTTGTGTGACTCTACCATAGGGAACAAGCTTATGCTTCATAATATTTACTTACCTACCATGGAACAGATTCCAGCATTACTTTTAGCACAAGCACTACGTCATCATCAGTGACATCTCAGCACTTCTAATACAAATGTGAATTTCATCTTGCACAGTTCTGCCTTCTCTGCTCTCTCTTACAAGCAGAAAGATCTCTGAGGTATTAGAAAAAATGTAACTTTGTAAGACAGACTGAGGTTTCTTGTCTGGGCTCTTTTATTTTTTTTGCACTTACTAATACAAATGGGTTCTTGCCATATGTCTGTTGTCTTCTTATGATGCTTGTTAATTGAAGGTTGTGATTAGTTGGAGCTGCCTGATGTTCTCACATCCTGTCTCACCTCACTCAGGCTGTATTTCAGAGCAAAAAGATGAAATGATTTAGAGGGGGCAGACAGGAGGTGACATTTTCAAGGTTCCTTGTTTCACACTGAGGTTTCTGTGTACAAACTGAGTTCTGGGTGCCAGTACAAGTCAGTTTTAAACTGGGCAGAAGGTTCTTGCACATCTTGTGCTGTGCAGGGTGGGTTGCACCCCCCTCCTCCCCACACACGCTGCCTTTAACAAAACCCTTTTATATGATCAGAGTGGAAAACTTAACAGGCTCAGAAGTGGGAATTTAAGTGACCTTTAGCTAAAGTAATACTAAAAATATTTAAAGAGAAGTGTGAGTAAATGGGAACCATGTGGGGGAAAGATTTAAAAAGGAAGAAGGGTTCCTCCCTCTGTAGCTGTAGGGGATATTCTCAATACCCCAGCATGATGAAACATGCAGGCTGGGAATTTTCCAGGGAGTCCAGGGAAAGTTGGCTCTTCTCCTTTTCATGTAAGGCACTGGGAAAACAGCTCAGGGAATGCTGGCCTGCTCACTAGTGTTTCTATTATGTGTCACCGTCCATTTTAATGCCAGATAAACAAAGCAAAACAAAAGTTACTTTCTAAGGTACAGTCTTTAATTGTAATTTGAGGCCTGCTGTGATATGCAGAGGGTTTAGCCCAAATCTTACCATAGCTGCTTTGCAATTCAAAACCAATTATGAACAGAGCCTGGTTCTGTGGGTAATGGTGAGCTTATCACAGCAAAAGCAAAAGCACAGGATGAGATTGTGACTGTATTATTTAAAGTACCTTGAGCTTTTTTGTCCTCATAACTTAAAATTTCATTTCACTAAGATCCCAGTCCGTATGAAAACAATTGAAGTAAAAGGAAATAACAGGCTCAAATGACAGTACATCTGCATCCAAGCCATTACTTTGACATTTGTCCCACATTGTCCTGCTTATATGAAATACAGGTCTTCATTCTTGGCATCATATGTTCCTCCACCCCTGATGTGTAACTTGCAAGGCTTCTCTCCCAGCTTTCCTGTAATGGTCACAGTAGTTTCATATTCTATGTCACTCCTACAATGCAGAGCAAAAAGACTTTAAGGATGAGATTAGTTACTCTGTGGAGGAAGAAAGGGACAGAAACTGCTCCTAATCACAAGCACTGGTCTCTAATGTTGGGGCCAAGTCTGCAGGTGGCCATCTCATTTCAGTGTCACATCCCACAGCTTACAGAGGGTGTTTGAAAAAAAATGCTCCAGACTGGGCCTGAAGCAAAGACAGTGGACTATAAACTTCAAGTCTGAAAGAACAACGTGGGTATCTTCCTACCTGTGCAATTCTGTTTTAGTTAAATAGAGCAAATGAAGCTCTGCTGGGGAGAGGTGTTGGGCAACAAAATGCCTGCACTGCCTTCAGGTGAGAACTCATCCCTGTGACAGGTGAGGTGTGAAAAGAAGTTTGTGCTAACTCCCCTAAGACAAGGGGCAGCCAGTGGAGTCCAGGCTGTCATGAACACCAGGCAGCTCACAGCAAGTCTCATTCTCCCTTTTGCCACCTTGCAGCACCACTTCCCTAAGGCCAGTGCTGCCCAGTGCTCCTGTCACTGCTCATCTGAAGGACTTCACAGCAGCTCAGGGGCAGGTGTTCTTAAGGCCTGAGGCAACAACCTGTTCTGCCAGACAACTTCTATTTTCCCTTCTCATACTGAAGTCCCCTGCAGGAAGACCCCTGATGTAGGGAGGTGAATTATTAAGTCACCTCATACCTTGGCATATCACTATTTACTGATGCCATGCTGGTTGTGAGCTCTGCTGTGCTCATCTTTGGAGCTGAACAGACAAGCTGGCTGCTACACAGCAACATCCTTCCCTCGTGGAGCTTCCAGGCACAGTGATGAGTGTGGCTGCTGTCAGACAATGCCCTTCAGGCATGTTTACAAGCACTCCAGAAAAAATTAGGAAGACAGGAGCCTGGGAGGTCTCTGGTCCACCATGGAGCAGCTGCTCAAGGCCTTGAGAGGTCAGTGGCTCCAGCAATGGAGTCACAGCCTGTGCCAGGGAGCCCAGAGTTAGGAGAGTAACGTGTCACCTGCAGTTTGCTTCCTGAAACTTCATTGTCAGCAGTGTTCAGAGGTCATGCAATTGCTGGGTTGGACTTGTCTTAAACTCTCTGCCAACATGTAACTTCAATAAAGTGATTCTGTAAGAAAATTCAGCTTCCATTACAGAATCACAGACTTACTTAGGCTGGAGAAGACCTTCTATCCCTCTAATTAGACCAAAGAAACTAAAGGCTTTTGGTCACCACTTCTGCCAAATAATCTCCAGCCTCAACAAAAGATTATGATAAGCTCTCCATAAACAGTTAGAACAATATTAGATGTTTATAGGACAAATGAATTTTCATCTGCTCTGCTCTTTGCTATCATTTTTCTGCAGCTCCCATTATCTTGGTTGTGCAGAAAACATTTGGGCTAGAGAGCAAAAATACACTGATTTTTTTTTTCCTCTCATCAAACATCAACATGACTAACACCAAATAATTGTACCAGCCCAAGCAAGGGTAAAACAAATCCCATCACTGCATTAGAACAACATTTTGCTTCATCAGGAGGAACTTTGAAAGTTTCTGAGGAAGTAAAGGACTTTAAAACATTTTAGAGAGAAGCCACATCAACTATAATGAAGGATCCCTGATTACTGCAAAAGATATTGCACTTCCCTACATGACAAACAGATGCTTTACTGGGATTCTGAACTCCAGACACATTTCTCCCTCTCCTAAGAAAGTGCTGGATGCATAAAGGACTCAACTGTTGTATCAGCCTCTGCACTGAATTACAGCCTGAGCTTCACCCTTGGGAAAGGGGTTCCCCTTTTTTTCCAGTGGTACCTAGTCAGTGTGTCTTGCCAACCATCAGAGCAGCATGGCTTGAGTGGGTGAATCTAAAGTCTGAACTTGTGGGTGCCAATCCAAAAGAAATCCCATATATGGGGGCAGTGGTTTTATTTATTTATTTTGTATGTACAGGGAACGTGATTCTGTGGCAACATCCTTCCCTCGTGGAGCTTCCAGGCACAGTGATGAGTGTGGCTGCTGTCAGACAATGCCCTTCAGGCATGTTTACAAGCACTCCAGAAAAAATTAGGAAGACAGGAGCCTGGGAGGTCTCTGGTCCACCATGGAGCAGCTGCTCAAGGCCTTGAGAGGTCAGTGGCTCCAGCAATGGAGTCACAGCCTGTGCCAGGGAGCCCAGAGTTAGGAGAGTAACGTGTCACCTGCAGTTTGCTTCCTGAAACTTCATTGTCAGCAGTGTTCAGAGGTCATGCAATTGCTGGGTTGGACTTGTCTTAAACTCTCTGCCAACATGTAACTTCAATAAAGTGATTCTGTAAGAAAATTCAGCTTCCATTACAGAATCACAGACTTACTTAGGCTGGAGAAGACCTTCTATCCCTCTAATTAGACCAAAGAAACTAAAGCCTTTGGGTCACCACTTCTGCCAAATAATCTCCAGCCTCAACAAAAGATTATGATAAGCTCTCCATAAACAGTTAGAACAATATTAGATGTTTATAGGACAAATGAATTTTCATCTGCTCTGCTCTGTTCTTTGCTATCATTTTTCTGCAGCTCCCATTATCTTGGTTGTGCAGAAAACATTTGGGCTAGAGAGCAAAAATACACTGATTTTTTTTTTCCTCTCATCAAACATCAACATGACTAACACCAAATAATTGTACCAGCCCAAGCAAGGGTAAAACAAATCCCATCACTGCATTAGAACAACATTTTGCTTCATCAGGAGGAACTTTGAAAGTTTCTGAGGAAGTAAAGGACTTTAAAACATTTTAGAGAGAAGCCACATCAACTATAATGAAGGATCCCTGATTACTGCAAAAGATATTGCACTTCCCTACATGACAAACAGATGCTTTACTGGGATTCTGAACTCCAGACACATTTCTCCCTCTCCTAAGAAAGTGCTGGATGCATAAAGGACTCAACTGTTGTATCAGCCTCTGCACTGAATTACAGCCTGAGCTTCACCCTTGGGAAAGGGGTTCCCCTTTTTTTCCAGTGGTACCTAGTCAGTGTGTCTTGCCAACCATCAGAGCAGCATGGCTTGAGTGGGTGAATCTAAAGTCTGAACTTGTGGGTGCCAATCCAAAAGAAATCCCATATATGGGGGCAGTGGTTTTATTTATTTATTTTGTATGTATAGGGAACGTGATTCTGTGGAAAAAGGACCAGCTGAAAGCCCAGGATTGGCAAGTGTTAGAGGCAAAATGAGCAGCCTGAGGACATGAGGAGCAGCAGAACTGCTCTTTGCTTTCCACTCACACCATCAGTCTGGGTTGACAGGGAGTAACAACAAGATTCCAGTCAGTTCACTGTACCTTGCAGTGAAGCTGATCTGCAATATCTCTCTGGGAGGTGAGACCCCTTCACGTGCCTTCAAAATGCCACTGATAGGGGAGACAGAAAATACTTCCAGGTCCTTATGCCTTTCCTGTTCATCTGCAGAGAAAGGGACAAACAGCATACAAAGAGATGGTGTAAGTTTGTAGAGCATCTGGCACTCAAACCAATGCACATCCTTGCCAGTCAAATAATAAATCATGTCTTGCCCTGTCAGGGGCTCTGTGTGTGTGTGTGGCCAGTTTCTGCTTTCATCTTCTAATCAAGCAGAGTGATCAATGGCCTCCATCTCAAAATAACAAGCCCCTGATCTTCCTTCCCTCAAAGCCCATCTGTTGTTAACATCATTAGGCACAAGCTCAAAGACAGGAGCTGCTGCTCTTTGTTGCCTTTCAGGATTGTATTAGAAATGAGCAAAGTGTGTCCACTACCTGTGAGGGCTGGGATGCAACCTTCTGGTAAATCTGGAGTAACTGCTGAAATCAGCAGAGACACAGTGAGGGAAGGGAGAAAGGAAGGGAAAGCTCACATAAGTGAGAACAGAAGCAGACCTGATACTTCTGCAGCCAACATGATCCTATATTGGATATATTGAGTGCATGCAGTCTTGCTGAATAAAAACCCTGAACAGTGAAGCTACCTAAAAAGAAAATTGAAATACAAACCCAGAATACCCAGAAAAGCAGTCCAGTAGCTTCTACAGCCACTCCTGTTCCACAGGAAGACATGTTCAGTCTGGGTCTGTCCAACAAAGCAGGTCTTGAAATCAACTGTGTCGCAAGAGAGCTCCAGCACTGGAACAGTGAGGTAGGCAGTCACTGGGACCAGCTGCAAAACAGAGAGGAGGGACAGGAGACCACCCACCTTATTTTCCAGAGCTTTAATAATATCTGTTACAGCTGGATCATTCTTAACTCAAGCACAGAATCAAGAGTTGTCCTGTGTTCTTCTGTAAAGAGTCAATTCCCCATCCTACAGCTGTGACTGAATTAAGTTGTTGCTGGTTTTATGTTTTGGGATAGGTTTTCAACCCAGGTGCTGTGGTCTTAATGAAGGAACAGGTTTTCTGAGGAGATGCAGACATGGCAGCATCTCCTCACCCCTTAGGACTGTATATGGCCCAGTGTGAGTCATTCCATTTGTGCAGACTGCCCAGGATTATGATGAAAGTGACTGATAGATACAGTGCTTGGGTCTTACACAAATGGGTCCTCAGAAATACCTGGCATGAAAAAACCCCCATGTCTGCAGTGCTCTGGAACTGCTGAGGACTTGGGTGGGCCACAGCTTCACAGCTGGAAGAGATTGGTGTGGAAATGTGTGTGGGCTGTGACCGCCCCACACGAGCTGGACTGGGGAGGCTTTCAAGAAGCTCTTGGGTGCTGCAGGAGGCAAGGCTGGGTGACTCAGCTGCTGGCATGTTGGGTGGGACAGGCCTGACCTCGTGTCTCTGAAGGCTTTTGGGGGTCACAGGGTGCTCTGGGGTGCTGCCCTGTGCAAAGGGCTGGGGCTGCTCTGTACCCCCAGAGCCACCTGCAGGCTCCACTGGGAGCTTCTGCCTTCTGCAGATCCCTGGCCTTTCACCTGAACTGGATGACACAACTTACTCCAGAGCTGGCTGTGTTCCAAAGCCAAGTAAATCCTAAGGCACATTCCCTCTGAGTCAGAGAGAAAACTCAGCCCTTCCTCAGGGCCCAGAGATCTCCTGCTCCTACCTGGGTAGTGCAGTTACTGTGTTCAATGACCAGATTTTGATGAAACTTCAGCTTTCTCTCCCCGTTCTCAAACTGGAGCAGCTGGAATCCAGGAAGCAGCTGGGCATCTGGCAAATGTTGAGAGGTAAGCAACTCCAGAGTGGTGTGGAATGACACTTTCACCTGTGGGAAGAGGAATTCAGATGACCATTGCATAAGAAGACACTGTGAGCAGGAAATCCAAAGTCAACAGTGCTCAAAGGCCCAGGCACACATTTTCCCACTGGAACCCACAGGTGTCATGCCAACAACCAAATTCCCACTGGAACAAAGTATTATAATTGAAGAAAAAACACAGCTATTTCCTATAAACCCAGGACACAAAGATGGAGTGCAAAGGTGAAGAGCTCGCTCTGAACCACAGGGCAGAGACAGTCTCCAGCAAGACAAAGGTTCTCAATTCCCAGGGTTACAAAGACCATATTCCCAAAACTATCTTCAACATACAGATCTCCCCTCTTCCCACACACACAGAATTAAGACATGTGTGTCTTCTCATCAGAATGAACACTGGGAAATGAGAAGCACACTTTGAAAATGCAGTTGTTGCTCATTCTTTGCACCTTAGCAAACTCTTCACTCCAGGACTTTGTTTCCTTTTAGTGTCATTGTGTACACCCAAAATGAACCATAGTTTTCTGTGTTTGCACTGCCTGCATCTAATTTAAGGAAAAGAGGGACTGCAGTCTTTGGAAACCTATTCATATGTCCAGCATATATATATGGCTGTGATTTAGGTGAGCACCAAAACCCACAAGATTTTCTGCAGGACTTTGCAACAGGTCAGAGTTGATGAGAAGAGTATGTCGGGGCCACTGCAGAAAAATATTTGGGACCCACAATATAGCAGGCAAAGTTGCAGTAATTAGCATTTGCTAATATACCTCCGTTTACCCTGAAATGGGGGTATTTCTGTACTGGTTGTGTTTTTCTTGTGGTTCATCTGGGTCACACTAACACACCAACTCCTAAAGTATCTGTTCTGGCCCAGGATTATAATTTTCGAGCCTTACCAGCATGTTTTGCTGTGGATAAAGTACAAGTTGTAATTCCTGCTCTTTTTTCTCCTTCTTGCTGTGGGATCTTTTGGTGCTTTTTTTGGGATCTGTGCTGGACAGGCTGAATGGCACAGACAGAAGGAGCCTGAAGTACAGAGGAACCTTGGAGCGATTGACGAGTTTCAGACTCTGAGTCGTTGCTGAATCTGTCAAAACCTGGTGGAGAAATTATTCCAAACTGGTTAGTTCTAACTCCCTTAGGAGGTTTGTGCTGGTCTGTCTGGTCATTCAGCACCACCAGGGATTTAAAGGACTTTACCCCAAAGCAACCCAGTATTTTCTACTTGTGTTTTTCAAACTTTCTTGAGTAAAAAAACAAAACAGGAATAATGCAACAAAGTCTTTGAATGTCAAGGGTCACAGAAACTGATCCTGCTGCTCTAAGTGACTCATTTTGGTCTGACCTTTATGTCCTGAAAATATGTAATTATTTTCCTACTTACAGACTCCTCTATAAAGAAAAAGAAAGATTTATAAAATAGGCATTATCTGAGCTCAGCTTTGCTTTATTGCTAGCTAATAAATAGAATCATAGAATTGTGGAATCAGAATCACATTGTTTTGGCTTGGAAGGGACCATAAAGATCATCTAGTTCCAACCTCTCTGCACAAGAAGAGGCACCTCCCACCAGACCAGGTTGCTCCAAGCCCCATCCAACCTGCCCTTGAACTTCTAGGGATGGGGCAGCCACAGCTTCTCTGGGCCACTTGTTTCAGTGTCTCATCACCCTCGTCGTGAAGAATTTCTTCCCAATGTCTAACCTAAATGTCCCCTCTTCCAGTTTTAATCCACTACCAGCCCATATAAACAGTCCCTCCCCAGCTTTTCTGTAGCCCCTTCAGATACTGCGAAGCTGCTCTAAGGTCTCCCTGGAGCCTCCTCTTCTCCAGGCTGAACAACCCCAACTCTCTCAGCCTGTCAAAGTACAAGTACAAAGTAGTCCTTTTGTTTTACCTGTCTTGTTATGTGCAAACACTGCAACGTGGGGATAAAGATGCATTTTAAAAACCATGTACCCACAGCTTTGAGTCCTTACAGCAGCAGAGCAGTAAATACTGGTGTGTGAAATACTCACTCCGGACAGAGGCTGAGCTGGTATGAGATCACTTGCCACGCAGTGAAACACCATCCCTCTCTCATGATCCACATCTATTTCTAACCTGGGTGCAAAGAACCAGAGCTGGTCAGAGTCCTGCCCTGCAGCTTGGCTGGTGGTGCCAGTGTGGCAGTGTCAGGGTGGGGGTACCTACAGTGCCTGCCTGACTGATGCCTCCAGGTGTACCCGGAGCGGTGCAGCTTCGTGGCCGCGGCTGCGACACACCTTGTTGGGCACTGTCTGTGCCAGCTGGCAGCACCAGGGGGGGACAGAAAGGAGATACAAAATGAGAGCACTCCAACCTGAAACCTTCCTTTTAGCCAAAACTGATTCTGCTTGACAACTTATTGCCTGTTTGTAAGGCATGACAGCCGCGGGCAAGCAGCAGGAAAAGCTAAGCAGCGGTTGAACTCCAGGTGGCAGCGGTTAATACAGATACTTGTGTTCCTCCAGGAGTCAGGAACATTAGGGGTGTTTTTATTAACTGTTCTGTTATCCTTCATTCATTATACCTTGTCCCTTTGCAATGATTCCCATCAGAGAATGGCAAAGCAATGGATAAAACAGTCTTCAAGCCTCACACTAGCCCGTGAGCTGCACGTGGTGCAGGTGGTGAAGAGGAAGCTGCCCAGAGGAGAGATCTGCTGTCCCAGTTCACCCAGGAAGGCAGATGCAGAGCCAGGAACACAGCTCAGCAGTCCCGAGTCTCAGTCCCACTGTTACCTCTTGTTATCAACAAAACCTGACGTTGTGATAGTGTTTCAAACCCTGGGCTTTTGTCTGGGCTCTGCTGCACCAGGCAATGCAGGAAGATGGTGACATTCCCACCCCCCGAACACTTCCAAGCTAAAAGGCAAATGCAACAAATGAACAACCCTCATTAAGGAAGGATGCCCAGGACTGTTTCTACAGGCTGGCCAGGGACACAGCAGCCTGTGCATTAAATCACACGAAGGGAAGGGATTGTTTTCTAGCCATCTTTAGCCTGGCTGTGACAGGTTACCTTGTTTAGGTTCATGAAACCCAGCACAAACCCTTCACATAGCATTTCAGGCACGGCCTCTGGCAGGACGGCTGGGGTGAAGGACACGCAAACGGAGATGCTGCCACCTCCTGGAACCACCTGCAGCCGAGAGACAACCCAGTGTCAGCGCCGGGAGCTGCCCCGCGTTGCACAGGCACTCTCAGCTCAAACCGAGCTGCAGGAGCAGCGTGAAGCCTCCTGGGGATGAGCTACGCTCGGGCCTGCACTGAAATGACAATACGTGACAACAAAACGGACTGAATTATTCCAGCAGCAAACACTGGAGCAGCCACCCTTCAGCAACAACAGAGCTGGAGCACAGACACAGGCCAACTCCCTGAGCGCACACACGTACCCATGTACCTGTTTTGTTTCCAAATACACCCAGTTCTGCCCACTCATTCTCCATGGCTAACTCAGATGATTGTCCCACAACTGACAGCACTTACAATACATACTTTTGAAGAGTTCCAAACATGAATTTAGAGTATTTTACAGCTCAGTTTGCTCTTGAGCATTTATTATTATTTTTCTTTTTACTTTCACACGACAGCAGGGGATCTCATCAAATGTAGCTACCATGGATTTTGTGGGATTTACAAGTTGAACAGATTCTGCTCCCTTGAGGTGCAGTGTGCATGCTGTTCTTAAATCCAGCTACTGCTGCAGGAACAAGCAGATTATGATCCAATTCTGCTGCTGCTGCAGAAAAACCTTTGTCACCTCCCTACACAGCCAGTTCATGTCTGAGTTTGCAGGCTCAGGGGGCACCTGGTGTGCATTGCTTTTGGGCTAGTGCTGTGCAGACACCTCATTTCATCAGATCACAAGGTGAGATGTTTGTCTTGCTGGACCTATATTCAGAGGAAGCAAAATGAGCTCAGCTCTCTTTGCACTGTGTTCCCCTGCTCAGAGGGGTGAGGAGCACAAGAAAGCTCTGCAGCTGGTCTAGCCGGGCAAGGGCAGAGCTGGAAAGCTCTGGCATGTCCTACAAGGCTGCAGGGTCTGTGCATTGTGGTGTCAGAGAGCTTGTTGCTCAGACATGGACTTAAGCCAGGTCTGGGCAGCTGTGCTGCACAACACCTGAGCCAAAACACCTTCCTGGAGCAATCATAGAAACATGGAGAACATTTCTGCAGAGGAATACCTGAATGACTCCACAGGAATCAGCTCCATCCCACATGGCCAGAGCTGGCTGCTGGCTGAACTGGACAGAGGCCATCTCCATAATGAGGCACTTGTTTATCTGAGCTATCTCAGCCCCAGCCCCTCCCCCGAGCTGACTGCAGCTGCATTGCTTGGAGATGCCATTTCTCCAGTTACTTCTTTTAAGTAATCTTTAGCTCATTCTAACTTGTAACTGAAGCCCTTTGGCAAAAAGGAACCAAAAGAACCAAAACTGACAGGCTGATGTTTTGGCCATCCTGTCACTCATAGTTAGATCTCTCCAGTGGTGTCCTTGCTTCATCCTATTCCCAAGGAACTGTGACACTATGGCCCCTACCTGCACCAGTTACTGTGGAAGTACTGTGGGTTACAAGAGCTGTCTACAGAGCACCTTTTTCCCAGCAGCCTGCTTTCCAACTCTGCTTCTCAACTCCACATATAATTCCACAGCTACTCAGCAAGTCTATACCCCAGTTAAATGACACACTTCCAGAGCTTCAGGCAGGCTGCCTCCCACCTAATGCCACACGTTTCACCAAGGCAACCTAAGTGAGAATACCAGAGATGCCACTCTAGAGAGCCTAGTACAACTGAACACTTCATTCCAGCCATCAGTTAACTGCTCAAATGTAGTAGGACACTTTCTGTTGACTTTGCCAACTCTTTTCATGGTCACCTTCAAGATGTCAAAGCCTCTCAGCCTACTGTTCCAATCTTCAGTAACTTCTACCCCAAACCAAAGATACTTTGTCCTCTGTGTCCTCTTGTCCTGCAGAAAATAAGCTAAATCTAAGCACAAAGAAAATGTAAGAGCTTACTATCTGTCTTGGAGTGATGGAGTAGGGGTTATCTGCAGGAACCCCTTCATGAGGTCGGATGAGTACAGAAACAATGTCCTCTGTTGTAGGTTCTTGAGTGAGGATTTCCTTCTCTTTGCTGTCAAAGTCTGGAGACTGCAGGGACACAAGGGTAGGGAATGGTTAAAACTGTTAGGCTGCCAGGGAGGAATGCAAATCAAGCGTACAGGGAAGTGCTGCTCCAGCCAGCAAGTATAACCAGCTCCAGTTTCTTTCTTTCTGGCACAAAAGCTGGACATGTGGATGTGTCCTGTACATTAATTTTTTTCATTGCATAGGTTTGCTCTCCTGAAACTGCTCCTGAAATTCTTGGAAAACATGCATGCTGAGGTCCAGTTCTACCAAGAGAAGCCCTCAAACTTAACATCTCTGGCCCATCATACAAAACAGCAGTTCAGGGCAATAAAGTTCCCTGGTTGTACAAGAAAGGTTAAAGGTGTATTCAAACCAACTATGCCTTCTGAGCTAAAGCAGAGAAAATGTAAAGTTTATTATCTTTTCTGTAAACCTTTTGCCAGAGAAATATACATATCCTGTATGATACCTTCTCCCTGTCACTCCCAGCCTTCCAAGACAGTAAATTGCTGTATTTTAATCAAACTTCAGGTGTGATAGATGTTACCATATTCAAACAGAACAAGAGAAACAATCTAACTCTAGCACTGGGATAAATACCCCCATATGATCTGCTGCAACTGGAACTCCACAGGTTATAGGTTGTGCTCTCTGACTGCAGCAGAGATTGATGCCAGAAAGCACCTGTGAGAAAAGTCAAGTCAACTGAAGGAATTTCTGTTGTCTTAACATGTCCACGTAAAAATGGCATTAGTTTGTCAATAATGGTATTTTCAAAAGTATCTGATCAGCTTTTCAACAATTTGAAGACAAGGAGAAGCTGAAGAGATATTTAGAACCTGCTGGTCCCAACAGCCATTTATTTACCCATGTATTGCCTTCTTGACTGGGAGAGGAGCTGACGTTTCTTTTACCAATCCAGCTCTTGGTTACAAGTTGGATGGTGTGTTATTTCTTGCAACTTTTCATGCCAAAAAACCCCATCCTGTGTCTCAGCAGCAGTACCAAAAGCAGACTCAGAGCTGACCTCATCTGCAGTTTGGGAAGCTAAACCAATGCTCCCACGGGGAATGGCAGTTTGCTCCAACTTTGACATGACCTCTGACTCCAAGGTGCTACCAGTTGATGCAGCCTCATTTTCAGCCCTGCCCTTAAGAGGAAAAGGGTCTCCAAAGAACATCAAGAAGTCCACCAGCTTTTTATCATCTTCGTCGTGGTTGTAAACTTCCAAGTCCAGGCGGATGTCTGAATTGAAAAGGAGAAAGGACAATTGCTTCTGGTTGTTGAGAAGACTCATGGTTTAGTTGGTGCTGGAGAACCAGAACATCCAGTCATGGATTTGTGTCTAGCAACTGGATTTGTATTAAAGCACCTCTTAAGTTTTCCATGTTTGCTGTAAACTGAAATTATTTGAGACCATGTGTGCTATGCTCTTATTATAGCTTGGTCACTCTCTACATCCTCAACTATACTTTTAATAACCTTATAATAAATGATGAGTATTTTGTTTAAGCAAATGTGTTTGGTGGCATTCAGGAAAAAAAAGAAAAAGGTGATGACCTTTGCTCTGCAGAGCTGAAAATCCCACTCAGGATATAAAAAGACTAAACACAGAAGTACCAGATGATGCCACTAAGAAGCAAGTAGCACATCTGATTGACTGGGGTTAGTGCTGTGAGAGATTTACAAAAACAGGATGGAAAATCATGTCAGTGAGTGAAAGCCCAGACACATCAGGAGAGGATGGGCTGTTACATTGAGTCAGTTACATTCTACTACCCTCTGGCTGGAGTTCACCTGCTTTCCTGTTAACAGAAATCCAACTAGTATTCACAGCAGTAATGCTGTAAGTTCTACCATGCATATAAAGACCTGACAACACGTATTATTATTCTGTCCTAGTGAAGTTCAAAACCAACTTAGACAGTCTCTTATACACTATTATTATTTTTACAAAGAACATCTCAATTATGAAACAAGTAGGCCTGATAATTAACATGTTAATGGGTTCTTCTGCTCTTATTACCATAAGGAGAACAACTCGGGTGTTGATGTTTGCTGCACGAAAGTCATTCTTACCAAAGGGAGTGGGATTGTTGAGCCTGACATTCCGGAAGACAGGAGACCCTCCAGAGACATGAGTGCCAAACCTGAGGCAGGGAAACTTGCTGTCAGTGCATGCAGAAAATATAAGTGAATATCTGAAATTACTAAAGATTTGTTTAAAAGTTGAAATATATCTGGCTGCACTGGCTGTCAGGTAAAACATGGCCTATCCTGTGAAGTACAACATTGCTTTATTTAATTAGTCTCTTTTTTTCCAGTTTCCTTTGTTCATAGAATCACAGAATCATAGAAGTTAAGTTTGGTTAAGTGGTTTTGGTTAAGTTTTGGTTAAGTTTGGAAGGGATCTTAAAGACCATCAGGTTCCAATCCCCCTGCTATGAGCAGGGACACCTCCCACCAGACCAGGCTGCACAAGCCTCATCCAACCTGCCCTTGAACACCTGCAGGGAGAGGGATTGCACAACTTCCCTGGGCAACCTATTCCAGTGCCTTCCTGCCCTCGTGGTGAAGAATTTCTTCCTGATGTCTGACCTAAATCTCCCCTCTTTCAGTTTAAAACCATTACCCCTTGTCCTACCACTGCCCTCTCTGGTGAAAAGTCCCTCCCCAGCTTTCCTGTAGCCCCTTCAGGTATTGGAAGCCTAGTTGTCTCACATGTTTCAGGGTAAACATGTGAAGTCAGCTTTTATGAAGCACTCTGGCAATGGAAGCAAATGGCTACACAGAAGTGCAGCAACCTGTGTCAGACAAAGGCTTCAGGTGCAGAAGGGTTTCCTGTGGTGCACAACTAACCCCATGTTACAGAGCTGACACTGCAGATACTCTTGGCTGCAGCAGGACACAGTGCTGATCCTTGTGCAGTCAGAAAGAAGCAGTCCTGCTGTGGGACAGCTGGCTGAGTGTGTAGTGCCATGGTCTCCATCAACCAACCCTTACCCCTCACCCAGGTGGGCAGATGCAACTTGGACTTGACCTTTCTCCTGCCCCTTTTTACCTCGGGGCTGCATTTCTCCTGGTCCAGGTAAAGGGACAATGAGAAATGAGCTGTGGATGATGAGAACTGACACCATACACCAGTTTCCATCTCCTCAGAATCAGATGAGTCTGGATGTTGGGGCTTTGAGCAACCTGGTCTGCTGGGAGGTGTCCCTGCCCATGCAGGGGGGTTGGAACAAGATGATCTTTAAAGTCCCTTCCAACTCAAACCATTCTGTGATTCTATGATAAAATTCTATGGTCTGGGTGAACTCCTGTGGCTGCAAGCCCAGAACAGTGATTGCTGGTAAGCCTGAGGAGGGCTTGTATGCAGAACCTTTTCTAATGACAGTGGTAGAAACAAATATGTTGGTGTTACAGAAGCAGATACTGTACTTTGACAGTCATTTTGCTGACCTGATTATATCCTATAAAGATGGGAACACCTGTGTATGTTGGCTATAATCCAGTGGTATTTAATTCTCTGATTTCTCTGGCAGTATTTTGCACTGTACCTGACTACAGATTGCTCTGCTTCTGGTCCCATCATCTGTAGGAAGATTGGGCAGCCTTTCACAGTCATTTGCATAGGAATTAATTTAGGTTGTAAGTCTCCCACCTATAAAAATGAATTTTTGAATTTTAGGATCAAGATAAAACTTCAGTTCTCTGGATTACAAATGTCTGTTTTAAAAACTGGGTGGACTTTCAAATGTTTTTGACTGCTTTACTTTGACAGCATCTAATTCACATGCTAATGAAAGTTCTTCCCAGCAGGAGAATGCAATACCTCATACTTCCATCAGCTTTCCTGTGGCTTTTCCATACAACACAAGCATATTGTACTGGTAGAGCAGAGCAGTGCATTGGCCAGCTACCAAACAGAGTTTATAAATCAAAACTGCTCCAGTCATTTTCAAGGCCCATGAAAACCTTCCAAGGGATAAAAACATGTTATCCCAAAACTAAACCACACACTGTAAGAGCAAACAATTGTTCCTCACTTGTCATTGGAGGTGGTAGCACAGCAATATCTACCCTGAATTTTTACAGAAGTCTGAACAAACTGAAAAAGTATTTTTAACAGAAAGGATTTGGGACAATAGAATTGGTGTAAAATCTGCCATAGTGATACTTCATTTAAAACCAAGGCCCCACCTACCTTACAGACAAGATCATCCCAGTACTGTCCCCACATGTTGTTGTAAGCTGTTATTTCTATGATTAGCTGCTGGAAAGCTTCCAGGGTTCCTGTAGAAGGTTGTACATGGAAAGCTATTCCCTTCCCATGAGACAGCACTGCTGCTGCAAACTCTGAAGGAGCACAACAAAGAAGCATTGGATGAATTCTGAGGAAATGGAACAAAGTTAAATCTTTCAAAGAATATATAGGAGCCTATTTTTAGCTGGTGTTAATCAGCCCAACCTCACTGGCTTCAGAAAAACCCAGGATATTTTACACAACCCACATTTATAGCACTTGACCCAAGTTCCCTTCTGCAATGGGTCTCACTCTGGTTTTTGAGAGTTCTTTGCAAAGATTATTCATAGGACTCCCTTCCAACAACCTGATCCAGGACACATGGGCATATGCAAGGCACTAACTGGTTACATGAAAACACACCCTTAATTTGAGAAAAATAAGATGGATTTTTTTTGTTAACTGGTTATCATTTTATTAGCAGCTGCCTGTTTACCTCTGTGTGCCCTTCACCACAATGAATGAATTACAAAGAGCAAAGCCTTTCCACATTCCAAATCACCTGGCCTTCTGCATCAATAAGCTGCATGGAATCTGCCAGAAAGAGCATTTTTCCAAACCCAAGCACCAATTCAACAGCTGAAAATCTCTGTCTTTGTAACAGACACCAAACACTATGGCAAGGTACCAATATGTCCAAGTTTTATTTTGAATACAGCAAACACATCCACACTTTATAGCATTTCATTCCCATTTCCCCAATCCCTGGGTCTCATGTGGCTCCAAACATTTTTCAGGGCAATGCATCAGAAATGACAGATGGGTTATGCTGAGGTTTACCACAGTGGGGAGGGTATTTAAAAGGCTTTGAGGGAGAAAATCCTGCTGCTATGGTGGTGGAAGACTATATAGGAGGGAAAGAGCCAAACATGATGCACATCATCCGTACTGTGTGAACTATACCACCAGAACCACTCATCTTTGTTTCAGACTGTTAGTTTTAAGAAAAAGAAGAGGGAAAAGAGAAAGAAAGGGAAGAGGAGAGAGAAAAAAGAAGCAGGAGGGGAAAGAGAGGGATCAACATTATGCTTATGCAATGTGGGCTTTCAAACTCAACAATGAACAGAGGAACTGAGTCATTTAATGGTGTAGACTTAGCCAGATACTTCAAGAATGAAATTATGTTCCTGACTGCCACATTTAATGCTGAATATGGTAGTCAGTTGGCTTTTCTCCTCTCTCTACTGCAGGGATTAACAGCTGTTCTCATACCTGCCTCTGTTTTTCTGGCTGCATGCTTTGGGGTGGGCCCTCTTCTTTTCACCAGGTAGCTTGAGGAGCTTGAAAAAATAAAATTAAAAAATCACCAGGATATTTCTATGAAACAATCAGGACTCTGTTAAAGTAACAGATCTACCTGACTCCTAAATTAGTAGTCATTATAACTTAAAGAAGGAATGCCTACAGAGCATTCTTTGAAAATAACATCCTTAAGAGTGAATCAGCCTGAAAGATGTAAGACTGTGTGCGATCTAACACAACAGAGCCTTGGCTGGTGTCAACCAGCTTATGTCCATTGGCAACAACAGCATTTTGCCATTTATACCAGCTACATCTTCCATCCTTGGTGCTGCAGGAAACCTCACCAGCAGGTTTCATTACCACAATCAGAGCAAGAGCTTAAAAAAACCCTCAAGTGCACTGCAGAAAGTCTGTCTTGTGACAGAGGCAATAGCATTCTGTCCTGATTCCAGCTTTAATCCAGACTTCAATTAGTATTTGAGTCATTATGCAGAAAAGACTTACAGGCAGATTCCTTGTTCTGGAGTAAGTGAAGAGCCAGTAAAATACTCAGCTTCTATTTTGAATGGAGCACTGATTCCAGTGTGGTTGGTAAGAAGCAGCTGACGCTTCACTACGTCTTTGAATGCAACTTCAGACCCAAAATCCAGCAGAAGATCACATGGGCTTTGTTCCCTTTCATCACTGTCAGAAAAAGGTACATTTGTAATAAACTATCAGCCTTCATTTTCTTACAGCACAGATATTTCAGTAGATTTTTAAATGGGCAATTTGCAATATGGTTGTGATGACATCAGCATTTACTGCTTCTCAGTTTTTCAATCCTACCTGTATAAGGAATTATTTTTGGGTAGAATTTTTATCAGGTATAACAAGGCAACCTACCAAATTAATGGCATTTTTACTTATATAAAAAGATAAGCATATTCCAAAAGAGACTAACCATGCTACATATCAGAAAACTAAACTAAACTAAGTATCAGTCAGATATACCAAGTCCAAGAGAGGACATTACTCTTTCTTTAGTATCACGTCTCATCATACAACAACAAAACTTAACGGTCAAAAATACAGGATCTTGGGTAAAATTCTGTAATTTGAAATTACTATCTAAGAGTTGAATCTGCACATTTTTGCCATTCCAGAAAATAGCTGTTAATCACAAACATGTGAGGCACTACAGAGGTCTCACATTTTGGCTGCCAGGGGGAAAAGTAATTTTTCAAGCCCTCTGTATATAAAAATGTAAAGGCAAGAAGTGCCAAGAGCACCAGGGGGAACAGACACATCAACATGAGTTTCACTAATGCACAGTTGTCTTCACACCAATTTTTGTTATTCTTGAATGAATGGTTTGACAGTTGTTAATTTATTTCAGCTAAAGAATGCTGGGAGGGGGCAGTGTTCTCCTCCACTCTTCTCATGGGCTTATGAAGATGGAGAACTTGGCTAGGGTGTAAACCCAGTGCTTTTTCTTCACATAAGCACCTTCAGTGAAGTGTCCCAGCACATTTTACTGTCCTTGCTGCCTACAGCAGGAGGAAGAATTAAGTTTACACAGATAAGTGACCTTCTCCCTCTTCCCTCTTGCTCATTTCAGGGGTAAACCCTTGATTTACCTGGCAACCCCACTGTCACAAGGCACTGAGTAGGTGACATGCAGTCCTTTCACTTCTCCAGAAATGCCCAGAAAGAGGGGTTCATCCATGTCTTCTATGCTACAGGAAAGGACAAGTTCTTTCAACTCACCCTGAAAGGAGAAGAGTCCAGTTTCCTTGTGAATGAAGCAAGCATCACAGGGGAAAGGCACCTTCATTAAGAAATTAACTTAGAAAACATGTATAAACCTCAGTGAACTAAGACCAGAACTACAAGAGGATCTTGAAAAGTTTCACTGAATTGTTTTAGCTGCATGCCCTGCCAGGACTGCATTTCCTTAGAATGCAGCACCAAAGTAAAAATTTGTGGTGATTTCTTGGCCTTGTATCTGCATCAGTCTGTAAGATTTAAACTGCTCCATTAGTGACTTTTGACACATTTTCACACTGTAGTGCAAGTGTTGAAGCTCTAAGCATTAATCACTTGTAGTTAAGCTTAAATAATCTTCCAAACCCAAGATATTATTTCTACCTGGCTTTAAAGCAGGACTTGAAGGAGAAAATACATGGTCCAGTCACACCAGTACTGTGGCTACTGCAACACTACAATCCTTTTTGACCTTACCATACACAAATCAGTTCCTCCTGCATAAAGAACAGACTGGGATTCAGCTCCAGATTCAGATTTCTAAATATAACTCCCCAGATGTGAGCTCTTGAGTTAATCTATAAAGGTGAACTTCTAATATAAGCTCTAACTCTCCACTGATTCATTAAGGGTACTTGGCACCTAGCTCACCTACAGTGCAGACAACCTTTCTTGTAGGTGGTTCTGATGACGTTCAGATCCCCAGACATGCAAACAGGCCCTCTCAGATGCCCAAGATGTCCTGTTGAGCTTCCAGCTTCCATGAAGAAAGGTCAAGTTTACAGAGCTCAACTATCCTGTGCCACATCTGCCAGACATACATAGGTACCTGAGATCTGGCAGGGCATCTCTGCTAGTACTGAACACTTGCTTTTAAGGGAATAAATGAAACTTGGGTCTCCAGTGGCTGTAATGTGAATACACCACCCTTCCCTGAAGCTCCTTTATTTAGTTGCATTAAATCAGCTATTTGAATGCCCCTATAAGGTCTATAGCTGAATTCCTGAAGCTTGTAAACTTTGCAGACTACAACCTATTTTGCAGGCTCTCAGTTCCATCAGCCTCTTTTAAGTTTTCAAGTATCAAAATCTCATGAGTCCAGGCGCATTCAGAAAACAAAATGTGTAATATACAAGCCAGCCTGGTCCATTTCATGAAGGGATAATCTGAAGTGAGGATCTGTATGCTCCAAGAAGAATAATAAGCATTCAGAGTAACTGAATAAGCATTCAAGAAAGAAAGAAAACAAAAGCAGTTGAGAAACAAAGAGGCAGGGTAGAAAATTGCACACCATGTAGACTGTTGGAATGCTTGTCTTCAGCTATGGTGCCTCTAAAGCAAAGCAATGTCAGAGATACTCTGCAGAAAAAAAGAGCATTAAAAATCCTTCTTTTTGCCAGATGGAGAGGAGATGAGAATGCCAGTGTTGCTTTTTGATTAAATTGTATCAGTTTTCAAACTTACCACAAGGTTAGCTGACAGCTCTATGCAGAATTCTTTTTCTTCATTTGGGCCTAAGGTGCCACTTGCTGGGGAGACAGTGGTGGAGCAGAAAGATGCCTGACTTCCAAGGAGCTGCTAAACAGAAAGGACAGACATTCACCTACCTCTACTTTTTTCAGATTTTCTCTTCTGATCAAGGAGGACTATAAAAACAGTTATTCTCAGATTTAGGACACCTTCGAGTAACAACACATACAGTTTGAAGAGGCTTGCTTTACAGTTCCCCCATGGTTGATAAGATCCTCATGCCTATATTCTTTCCAAATTTCTTCAGGTGCCCAACTGAGGCACCTGGGCTGGGAACACAGTCAGTTTTGTCCCTCTTGCAGTCACAAAACTTTCCAGGATTAAGTAAAAATTCATCTGATATTGCAGCAGGATCCTACAGGTACCATCTCTCTCTCCACTGGCTACACAGGTGGCCTACACAGACAATCCTGGTGTTGGCACCTTCCCTAATTCATGGGAGTCACAGAATAGTTTGGGTTGGAAGGGACCATTAAAAGTAATTTAGTCCAACCCCTCTGTGATGACCAGGGACACTTTCCACTAGACCAGGTTGCTCAGAGCTCTATCCAACCTGGCCTTGAACAATTACAGAGATGGGACATCTCCCACCTCTCTGGACAACCTGTGCCAGTGCTCTACCACTATCACTGTAAAAAATTCTCTTCCTTGTATCTAATCTAAATCTACCCTTAATTGCCTAAATGCACATGGCATTCATCCAGGGATTCAAGTCACACACAAACATCAGATACCATGTATAATGCTGCGGGCATCCCTCTTGGGCTCCACATGTTCCAAAATGTTTTCCCATAGGTCCTATATCATCCACATGCTCAGTTAGGATTCCTTGGGCCTCTAAAATATCTTAGATGGCAATGGATGCTTTTATGTAGGCAACTGAGATGAACCATGGGTGTTAGATTAGATCTGAATGACCAAGCACTGACAGTAGAATCTAGTTTACAGATTAATTAACCTAATTGTATGCACAGTGGGCATCAACACTACCACTGGAGTCAACAGCCACCCAGTTGGCATGTGCCAGGGAGCATTCTGCAGACCAAAGCAGGTGTCCATTTTAGGGAGAGCTGAATACTCCTCTGGACTCCACTGACTGTCCAGATGGGATAGGATTCAGTTGCCTGAACACAGGCACAGAGCCCTACAAAGCTGGTGTGACTGGATTTACAGGAGACCACTCCTGCCTGGAGGTGAGGAAGAAAATTCTACAGGGCCTACAACAACCCTAGACATGTATCTTCTAGTGACTGACTTCCTGCTCAGACTTCACTGAAAAGGGAGTTCAGACCACAACTTACATACTGACATTAAATGTACAGCCCCTAATCTGTGAGCTGAATCCCACCCAGGATGTTCATTTTAAACAAAATTTAGACACAATTCAAATCACCATTGCTTCTTTGCTCTGCTGAATGAAATGCAAACCCTAAACTCATGGTACTTTGTTAGGACTCTGATAGCTTTCATCCTATTTCCTCTCACATCTCTGCCAACCCATTCTCCAAGGGATGATCCACCAACAGTAAGAGCATATAAACATCATCTGCTAGGTAATCTTTGCACAAAAGCTGGTCTCAGGAGTAGTTAGTACTTTAATAGAAATTACAGTTTCCATCCCTACTCTATTGCTCAGTCATTAGAGGCCCATTTACCTTTCCCCATAGGTATTTTGTTGGCAGCAGTGTCTGGTTAAAAAGTTTGCTGGTTGCTTTAACAGGAACTCCAGCATAAATTTCAGGGAACAGTAGATGACTAGATACCAGGCATACTTTGGGGGTCTGGACTTCAACAAAAACAGGAAGATGACTGGAAATAAACACACAGATAGTCTATTGTTAGCATGAATGAAATGTGCTAGACATACAACAGCTGGAAAGAATGAAGCTTATGTTTATTTAGCAATATTATTGATCAGATAGTCCATTGATAGGTTACACAACCTCATGCTGACTTTCTATATAACGTTTTTTGTTTTAGGCGATAAAACTACCTAAAGTGAAAATCATGTGTGAATCTCGAGACAAAACAAAGCAGAAGGCCACTTTCCTCCTTACCTTCCTTCTCCATTTTCCACCTCTAGTTGTAATACTGTTTGGAGACGCTGGCAGAGCATGGATGTGAATGCAACTGACACAGTGCATGTACCCAAAGGAGGTATTTCTCCAACAGATGGATGAATGGTAAAGGGAGATACCTAGGAGAGAGGAAACACACGTTTCTTTGATGCCTGCAAAGCAAGAGTAAAATGCTGAAACCACCCAGTCTGATTAGAACTTGCATGTACTCAGTTTTAACTCAGAAATGTTCTTTCTTTCTGACCCTGGAATTCAAGGGCAGGTTGGATCAGAGCAACCTGATCTAGTGGGAGGTGTCCCTGCCCATGCAGGGAGGTTGGAACTAGATGATCTTTAAGGTCCCTTCCAACCCAAACCACTCTATGAGTCTATGATTTCAGTAAGCACAGTGCTAGCTTTGTGAAAGCCTGGCTAGACAAGGAGACAAGACTTTGCTTCTATGGGGACAGCTAATAAAGAAGCAATGATTGTCTCCTGGCAAGTGGAGGGGCTGAGCAGCAGCTATGCAAGGTGCCACAAACGGGGGAAAATCCTGGACAGAAGGTCAAGAAGTAGGATGGACAAGTGGAATAAGAAAGGGCACCAGCGTGGGGTAGGGGCTGGAGAGGTTCAGGAAAGGAAAGGAAAGGGGCAGCTCTTATGCAGGAGGAATAAAGCACTTGATCTGTGATCTTCAGTGGGATATGAAAGGGCTCTGGAATGATAAATTCAAGAGATGAAGTCTAACATCTCTCTGGGAATTGTTGGGAATGGCAGGGGATAAAGGAATAACAGTGAGAAGGAAGGGCTGGAGGACTTGTGCCATCAACATTCACCCAAAGTTGGTGAGGCATCTACATGACACATAGAAAAGAAAACAAAGCTCAAAAACTCATGGGGATACAGCACAACTTCTCACCGGCTTTCACCTCCTCGTGGACAATCCAAAGTTCCTGCTTAACAAGATCCTCTATGGATTGCAAAACTGACAGTCTGTCCAGAAAAGACAGAACATCTGAACAGCATTTAGACCAATTTTGCCATGAAACAAGTGAACTCAATTCTTCACATGGGTAATAACATAAAGAGCCCTACAGGCAGAATTTGGCCTTTTATTGCAACAAAAAGCTCTTACCCAGAATCTGGATTTCTTCATTCCTCTTTAAGACATGACACCAAGGAGAAATCTAGCTACAAAGCCCAATGTGTGCCACAAACAAGCAAAATAAACAATTGTGGGTTTTGTTTTTTGGGGATTTTTTTTTTTTTTTTTTTAATTTTAGGAATGTAAATTTAAATTTTAAATTCCTAAATTTTAAATGTAGGAATATGTGATGGTCTGCAGCTCTCATCCAATTCTTTGCCACCAGTATTACTCCAAGGTGCTTTAGTTACTTGATATGAAATGGTGAAGTCAAAGACTGGAATGGACTGCATTTGACACATCACAGTCTATTTCATACTGAACAACAGTTTTAGTTTTCATTGTGGTCAGAAGTCATTTTGGGAGACACCTGGGTGTTTTAAAGGTATGGTTTTAAGCCAAAAGACCAAATTTAGTGGATGCTGAGATGCTGATGTTGGGTGTATGAGAGGAGTGTTTAACAGCCTCAGTTCTGATAGTCTTCCCCTCTTATTTAGATCATCAGCAGACGAAATTACTGTCATCCAAGGAATATTCCATGTCTTTCTGGATAAGGCTGACAAGGGATTTCTAATAAACAGAAACAGAAAAACTGCAGCAAAACATTTAATCTTAAAAAGAACTTGTGAACTTTGGGAACTGTGCAGAACCAGTTTCAAAAGAAGTCACAGAAACGAAAACATTTTGTATCTGGAATTAATATTACAACTCCTAAGCATGAGGAAGAAATAGCTAAAGAAGGAGCATAGCCAACTACAGCAGTGACTTACCTCTTCATTCCTTTCAGCCAGACAAGCTGGGCTTTCTTGCATTCTCCATTGTGCTGGCAGCTGACACAGATTTCTAATCTTAAAGGTTGTTAACACACTCTCACCCTGCTTAATCAAACCTAACCAGAGTGATGGGAGATCAATACAAAGAAGTGGACCCTAGGACACCAGAAAACAGATGTCAGAATGGACACTTCTGCCAAAACTGCCTAATTAAGAAGCATACATTAGCTAAGATTAATATTCCATTTCACAGAGAACAGTAGAAAGCAAATGCACTGCATGTAATACAGTAAAAATCTTACTGTCATGGGAGTAGCAACTTTGATTCAATAGTTACTAGACAGCAAAAATACCTCCTGTTTGTAACTGCTTTACATTTGTCAGGCCTTTAAGAGGCAAAAAGCTTTGTATGGACAGTAGCCAGGCCCCATGGCTAGTCATTCTGCAACACTGAACTGCACCTTACCTTAAAAGCAGCCTCAACATGCAGCACAACTGGCTCTGGACTGTGTTCAATTTTACACTGCAGGTTATGGTTGATGCACCCAGGTTTGCTTCCAGTGATTAGCAGTTCAAATTCACAGCATTTATTCATATCTAGAAAAGAAAAATTCAGGGTCCTGTCTCATCTTTTTGCAAAGAAACCACACGCTGCAGGCCTGTTACTGAAGCTCCTGGAACCAAATGAAGTCTCATGTTGGCTGCAGTAAGCTGAGGTCAGGTCTTGTTTTGCAGCTTGTGTTTCAGTGCTCTGGAACTTTTCCCTTCCACTCTTACCAGTTTAAATATTTCTGTCATTAACTGATGCTTGCAAGTCACAGAAACTTTACCTATGATGCCAGAACGAGGTTCAACTTCCATGATGTCACGGGCTATGATTTTCTCCCATGTGTACTTAATTGCTGATTTGCTGTTATTCCACATCTAAAACAATTAGAAACAATGAGATAATTAAGGCACTTTAAACTTTCACAGCAACAAGGCAATTTGCTGAAGGTACTGACGCACTGCGAAATAACTACTCACTACTTTGCAAACTCTCACCATCTCCTGATCACCACTGAACATGATGACCTACTAATATACCTTGAATCTAGCTACAACATGCTGTACTATCACCTGGATCTTAAGATAAACTGAGCACAGGAGGAGTGGAAAAGCCCAGGATTTCATCTAACCTCTGACTTGAGCAGTCTTAACCCCAGTGCCATGCACTGACTACTGTTATTTTGATGACACTGCTCTGTCCTCCCTTTTTCCTTTCTCCTTGTGATAGAAAACAAGGACAAGAAGTGGGAATCACCTGACTGGATTTCAGGTCTCTGCTGACCTCATCTTGTAGGATTCCCTTTACTAAAAACAAAGCCAAATAGAGAATACCTGGAACAATTCCTCTGACCTGTTTTAGCCTATAGAATGAAATGAATCACCTCCTGGAGGCTGCAAAAAGAGATTTTTGAGGACTGTAAGGAAAGCTTAGGGCAGGTAGCTCAGATGTGGGATCTGTGCTGAAAGCACTATATTTAGTCAGATTAAACAAGCACTGTATTTAACACAGTGGCTCTACAAAATATTTAAGGAAAAAGAAAACAACATGGGTTGTCTGCTATCTTCTAATAACACCTATGACATCTAGTGACACAATAACAATGATAACTATGAAGTCAAAAGCAAACAAACCTTAAAAGTCTTTCTGACATTTATACCAATAAAGTTTTCTCCAGGGATAATAATGGCATATGGTTCCAGAAGAAGCTGAACTGGTTCTGTTGATCCTTTAACTTCTATTTCCAATGTTATTACATCCTCTGCTTTGTATTCTGGGATGTTTTGAAGCACCCTCTCTTCTGCTAAACTTTAGGAGCAAATACAGTGGAATTATTAAGCGTTTTAAGCTTAAACTGGATCCCATCTTTTAACTACCAGATGAAAACTGAAAAACATCAAAACATTCTCAACTACAGACTCCCCTTGTGCAGTTTGCTCAGGCTGGGGACAGTTAAAAACTGGGTAAATTACAGTAGTACTTTCATGCACTCTAGTCGTCCCAGTCTGCTCATGAACAAGTCTGTAAGTCATAGGCTGCTGTAACAAACAGTAATAACAGGAAAACCTGCTGGAAATCTCAGCAGAAAGCCTGGGAAATGAACAAACAAAATGACAGTGTTGTTTGTACCACAATTAGTTGTGTAGATAAAATCCTTCATAATTTTCAGTCCATCATCACCAGAAAGATGAAGAATCCCAGTAACTTCATGTACTTGCATACCCAAACTGGGAAATACTGTTTCCAGGCTTACCAAGGTGATTCTGGGATGTCCCTCAGTACCATCTGAATCACATTGTGGTAACTCTTCAGCTACACAGATGAAGAAGGAGAGAATGTAAATGTCAAGTAATCAGTGATGTCAAGGATTAAAAAGGAGATGAAAAAGTAGTTTACATTTAAAGGATGAACGATCATCATTGGATGATGAACAATATTTAAACTCTAGAGTTACTAAAAGAAAACATATTTGCAAAATATGAAGCCAGATTCTGATCTCATGGTGTATGGTTCCAAGAAAAATACTCATTCTTGACATGCCTGTTATTATTTCCCTAGTACATTGCATACTGCACCCAAGCATCTGCAAAAGGCTCCCCAGATTAAGATCAGTACTGCTGTACTAACTTCTAACTGCTTCAGGGTATTTAGCTTAATTGAGCTTCAATCTGATTTTGAGTAAGAAACACTGCTTTTCTGTCATGGGAAAGGAAGATGAATTCTGTATTCTAATGGGGGGAATAAAGGAAACAGAGAAGCAAGACTTAAATCCAAAGGGCTTTGTGGAAGATTAATTTGTTTGTAGAGAGATATTAATGTGAGTATATATGTTAATTCAGTATATTTTTCTATTAACTAATTAAAGGATTTAGCCCAATTATTTTCTCTTCCATAATTATCTGAGGTATACCTATGTCTGTCAAGCACCACAGCAGGAGATATTCCCATTCTTGGGCTTACTTTGGATTGAATTTCTTTAAATACAGTGAGCTAATGCTCCTTATTTACATGGACAGGGGAACAGAAACTAAGACAACAGTCCCTGGTACAGCTGCATTCACACATTGTTGCACCCTTCTTTTGCCCACAGCTGCAAACCACTACTTCCCTGCCAAAGGCCACCACTACCCTTTAATTCACCCCACAGCTGTTCATAGGACCCATTTCAGCCCCCCAAAAGCTACAGTTGGAAACAGGTTTAAATAATCAGTTTGCTAACCAAGCTTGTTCAGGCTGCAGCAGGTATAGGGCACATCCCCAAAGCAGTTCACTCCAGCAGATGGGAAGAGAGCAGTCCCAAGGAAAAGGACTTGGGGGTGGGAGTAAATGAGAAGCTTGACATGAGCTATCAGTGAGCACTGGAGCCCAGAGGGCCAGTTGTGTCCTGGGCTGCATCAAAAGAAGTGTGGCCAGCAGGGCCAGGGAGGGGATTCTGCCCCTCAGCTCTGCTCTGGTGACACCCCACCTGGAGTGCTGTGTCCAGTTCTGGAGCCCTCAACACAGCCAAGACATGAAGTTGTTGGAGAGGGTCCTCTGCTATGGAGACAGGCTGAAGGAGTTGGGGTTGTCCAGCCTGGAGAAGAGAAGGCTTTGGGGAGACCCTAGAGCACCTTCCAGTGCCTAATGGGGCTACAGGAAAGCTGGGGAGGGGCTCTTCAACAGAGAGGGCAGTGGTAGGACAAGGGGTAATGGTTTTAAACTGAAAGAGGGGAGATCTAGGTTAGACATTAGGAAGAAATTCTTCACCATGAGGGTAGGAAGGTACTGGAATAGGTTGCCCAGGGAGTTTGTGGAAGCCCCTCCCTGGAAGTGTTCAAGGGAAGGTTGGATGAGGCTTGTGCAGCCTGGTCTGGTGGGAGGTGTCCCTGCTCACAGCAGGGGGGTTAGAACCTTATGATCTTTAAAGTCCCTTCCAACCTTCACCATTCCATGATTGTGGAGGAGCTGGTAGTGGCCTGAGGGTGGTAATTTCACCAGCCAGCACAGCTGCAGCTACAAGGATCTGTCCACAGTTTCAGTGTAAAATTAGTTGTGTCCAATCAGTACCAAAACTGACATGAGATCAGAAACTGTCCCATATTTTGCACTCAAAACATGTTTTAGTAACTTGAACACTGTTTATCCAAGCACATTACCAGCTAATTAAATTTAATTCGGAAAGCTGCACAGCAAGGATTTTATGACTTGCATAAAAACACACAGCTGGAGTTTGTAGATAGGAAGGACTCACAAGCCATACCTCCTGTGGAGAGAAAGTGAGAATAAACTCATGATCAGTGTGGGGAAGCAAAACTCCCTGCTCAGGATTAAGGGAGAAGGCTGAATCTGTGTCTTGATCATATTTGAGCTCCACAGAGTCTGCAGTTTCTTCTGGCATTAATGGTTTCAGATTAGGCTTTATTATCTGCCAGTAGAAAGGAAGTTCTATGTGGCTGCAAAGAGATCAAGAAACAACAGTAAGCTATAACTAAAAAAAAACAGACTTTTTTGAATAAGATATTGGGAGAAAGTTTTCAGTTTCTTCTTCCATGTAGGGAATTCCTCTCCTCAAAAATTACAAGGATTACACTTCCCAATCTTTGTGAACTATAAAATTGATGAGGCAGCACAGAGTAAATAAATTATACAGGGGACATGCTAACATATGGAAGTAAATGATATAAATATGCAAGATATGTTAACACTTTCCTGGTTTATTGAACTGGTCATGTAATGCAACTTTTAGGTATATCTGCAATTCTTCTTTCAATAATCTGAGATCAACAGGACCATTTCTGCTGATCCCAGTATGTTGGCATTGGATCACTGCTGATGATCTACATAACATGCTGAATTTAATCCAAGTGCAAGCTGTGACTTTGAACACATCAACAAACCCAGTGGCTCCAGCTAAGATTATAGCAATGGCTCTGTAATATTCTTTGTATTCCAGAAAAGGTTGCTTAAGTAAATTGCTTCAGCAGATGTGCATTCCATGGAATGTGTTCATGGGTCTTAAAACCTTGCTCATGCTGACCTCAAAACCTTTGCCTTACTAAGGGGAAGAAGGACACTGGAATTTCAAAGTCAGTATCAATGACATAAAACTGAAGTAGTCTCTTGTATCATTTCCTACAGCAGTAGGAAGTTATCCCAGCTTTGTGTAATGCAAATGCTAACACCAGAGTTGCAGAGACTCCTGTCATGATTATCACACAGAGAAAACATGGAAATTGGCATAGTCACATCCTTCATCAGGTTACAGTATCCAGTTAATTGAATCACCCTTTCTGTACCCGAACAGCATTCTGTTCTGGCACTATGCATGTGTGGTTTCCACGTCACAGAACAAACCTCCAGACACTGACAGTAGCAGGTAGCAATTTACATGAATGTATCTAAAACCAGCCTTACCTCCTCACTGCTTGGATGCTTGGCAAGCTCCAGGTACTGCAGCCCTGCATATCAGTGGGCTTCCATGATTGCCAACTGATTTGGATCAAATTCAGGATGCCCTGTGTTCAGTACAATGTAACTGTACATGGGGACATGTTCCTTGACTTCAAATAGTTTATATTTAAATCTATTAGGACTCAATAGTAGGAACAATGTGGAAGTTTTAATATTAGCTAGTTACACTGGGCTCTAGTTTTAATCAGTGGAGTCCAGGAGGGGTTATGTCTTGTTCTATGGGAGATGTTTATAGTCAGAATTGCATCCTTAGAAGCATCCCACCTGGATATGACCAGCTCTGAGGCCACCAACATAAGAACATGGAGCTGTTGGAGCTAATCCAGAGGAGGCCATGAGGATGATGAGGGCTGGAGCAGCTCTGATCTGGAGACAGGCTGAGAGAGCTGGGGTGTTCAGCCTGGAGAACAGAAGGCTCCAGGGAGACCTTAGAGCACCTCCCAGTGCCTGAAGGGGCTCCAGGAAAGCTGGGGAGGAGCTTTTGACACAGGCAGGCAGTGATAGGAAAAGGGGTAATGGCTTTAAACAGGAGGAGGGGAGATTTACGTTCGACATAAGGAAGAAATTCTTTGCTGTGAGGGTGGTGAGACACTGGCACAGGTTGCCCAGAGAAGCTGTGGCTGCCCCATCCCTGGCAGTGTTGAAGGCCTAGCTGGATGGGGCTCTGACCAACCTGAGCTAGTGGAAAGTGTCCCTGCTCATGCAGGGAAGTTAGAACTAGATGGTCTTTAATCTCCCTTCCAACCCAAACCATTCTGTTACTCTATGTTCTACTTCCCTGGTCTATGAAAGCAGAAGAGTATAGGGTGCTTGGCTCAGTTGCACAAGTAGACATTGTAGACATGTAAAGTTAGATGAATCTCATCTGGATGACACTCTTAAATATTTCTTGCAACCAGAACCAAATGGTATGGCTAATGGTTGCAGTATTGTCTGATCTATGTATAAAGTCCCTGCTCTTGCAAGCACATCCTTGAACCTTAATTACTAAACAATGGTGCAAAAAGAAGCAAGGCTTCTGCACAGAGTTCATCAAGTGCATGAAGGTTTCTCCAGCTTGAGAGAGCATGGTGTCATAAATGAGATCCCTACCAGTATCACTCACAGGCCACTGATCAATGGCAGATGAAGGTTTCTCCAGCTTGAGAGAGCATGGTATCATAAATGAGATCCCTACCAGTATGTTCAGAGTGCAGGCATCACTCACAGGCCACTGATCAATGGCAACTACATACCAGGAGTTCCTTATAACCAGTTTCTTCTCCTTTGTGGTGTGAGAGTTTTGGGGGTCAAAGCAGATGAGATGCTGTGCTGTTACATCAGTCACTTCACTGGGTTCAGGTTTGCCTTCTTCACCTGTGACAAACACAAGCTCCACAGCTACCAGCTGTCCAAGCCCTTGAAGAAATGAGGGGGTATTACTGTTTACCATCTGGCTATTAACATTGTTCATTTTACTCATTAACAGCAAATGCGGGTATTACTGTTTACCATCTGGCTATTAACAGCAAATGGCAGCAATGACCATTACTAATTACATCTAGTGTGTCCTCAAGTTGCAGAACTCCAATGTGTTAATGGTACAATATTTTCCTGATGTTATATGTTCATCAACATACATCAATAAAGTTCTTCTTCTCTTCATGCATTTAACAAATTGGGATTTCAGGGCCAGAACCTCAGCTCACTTAGATCATCACTTTTTCACTGAAGTGAGCAGGGTGTTTGCAATGCTTGATAATGTGGCTCCCAGATGTTTTGAGCAGTATTAAAATAAAAATAAGCAGCAAATGAACTATAAAAAAAATCCAAAGGAAATACCTGTAATAAAGTGATTAAATAGGCTACAAGTCAAGTCTAATGTTCTAGCACTCCTATAAACATTACAGGACAAACACTAACATTTACAAGAATTTCAACTACTTTCATTAGCTAATCCAAAACCTGCCTATCTCACCTGAATAATCTACTCCAAGATGTGCCCCAAATTTTCTTCACTCCTAAAGGTATTTCTGCCCTGTTAAAGCTGATGTTTTGTAACTAGTCATGTTTTCTTATTGATACAAAAGCCTAAGAAGTGAATTGCACCTCACTACAGGTGTTCTTTTGTGCTACTTGAAGACACTTTGCATTTGGAGTTTTGGCTGAAGGGGGTTAGTAGCTCAGTGCTTTCTGAATCCCATGTATTTCATGCACTGGGATGGAACAGTAATAATAAAAAAGCTTAGCATTTCACACCAGCAGGGGACAAAGTCCTTGCTTAATCCAATGAGGGAAAATCTTACTATCACATCAAGCCATCAAACACCACTCACATTATTTGGTTATCTACAGTGTTAGAAACAAACCTGTGACTGTAACATCATTGACTTGGCAGTTGTCACAAACAATGGTGTATGTTTGCTGTGAGACTTCTGGACAAGAAGGGAAAAACACTACCTGAAAGAGAGAAGTGAAATAGCAATGTCTGTAACTGAATTCTCTCCAGGAAGTAATAAACCTCATAAATGTTCACTAAAGAACAGTTCTAGGCATTAGCAAAGAAATCCTACATTTACATGAAACAGTCAGTGCCACATTCCCTTAAAACCAGGAAGAAAGAGGTGTTTTCTGGGTCACATGAGTGCATCTGGTGTCTTTGTAGGCACTGGAGATGTAGGCACTCTACTGGGTTAGTTGTGTGAACTGCACCCTCAGGATCAGATCTGCCCTCACGATTGGATCTGCCCTCACGCAGTTACTGAGCAGCAGCCACTGCTGCCTCTCAACCTGCAACAGTGGGAGCAGGGCAGCTGCCCTGTGTGTGCTGCCCATGAGCTCCATCTCCACCACGATAGTCCAGGGGCCAAAAACTTTGGCTGTGTAACATGTGCCAAAGTTCTTCTGTCATCCATTATGACCAGCAAGTCCAGCCTATGCTAAATTCGCCTCCTCTTCCTCTCCCACATATGCCTG